CTGCTGTTGCTGTTGTTTGACCGTCTGCGTTAGCGCTGCTGGTACAGTGCGATACTGTACCAGCAGCGCGATACTGTACCAGCAGCGAGCGAGACTCATCGGCAGGACGATCGACGACTTTGTTGGAGTTTAAAAGTCGAACTTAACACAGGTCGCGATAACCTCCCCGAGTTAAACTAATGTTCGGTTCGTGCTCGACGATTGTGGGGTTTTTTTAAAATAAAAATATAAATATATATATTTTTTTAATAAAAAGGGAATTCCCTCAAAGGCGCGTGAGGTAATCTCTGTACGGAAATGTAACACGGACGGAAGATTTCCCTGTTGTGTGTGTTTTTAAAACTATATAAAAATGTTTTAGTTCCGACTAAACGGAGCTGATATTGTTGATGTATCTTGGTTCTTTCGGTAAAGTCACGTAGGAGGGAAATAATGAAATAATAAAAATAAAAAAATATTTTTTTTGTTTTTACTATAATAAAAATAAAACGTATTATTTTATTGTTTTATTTTTACTGTAATAAAATAATAAAAATAAAACTTAATATTTTATTATGTTTTATTATTTCCCTTCTACGTGGTGGTGACTTTACCGAAAGAACCAAGAATGTTAATCCCTGCAGTCACGAGAGCTTTAAATGGAAGTTGTTGATGCACTTTGTTTTAAACACGAACTATGGTGGTCAACGTGGCCGGGGAGGTCAGAGCGACCCCCTTGGATGGGTGTTGGATGGGTGTTGGTTGGGTGTTGGTTGGGTGTTAGATGGGTGTTGGTTGGGTGTTGGATGGGTGTTGGTTGGGTGTTGGTTGGGTGTTGGTTGGGTGTTGTTTGGGTGTTGGATGGGTGTTGGATGGGTGTTGTTTGGGTGTTAGATGGGTGTCGGTTGGGTGTTGGATGGGTGTTGGTTGGGTGTTGGTTGGGTGTTGGTTGGGTGTTAGATGGGTGTTGGGTGTTGGTTGGGTGTTGTTTGGGTGTTAGGTGGGTGTTGTTTGGGTGTTGGATGGGTGTTGGTTGGGTGTTGTTTGGGTGTTAGATGGGTGTCGGTTGGGTGTTGGATGGGTGTTGGTTGGGTGTTGGTTGGGTGTTAGATGGGTGTTGGTTGGGTGTTGGGTGTTGGTTGGGTGTTGTTTGGGTGTTAGGTGGGTGTTGTTTGGGTGTTGGATGGGTGTTGGTTGGGTGTTGTTTGGGTGTTAGATGGGTGTTGGTTGGGTGTTGGATGGGTGTTGTTTGGGTGTTGTTTGGGTGTTGTTTGGGTGTTGGTTGGGTGTTGGTTGGGTGTTGGTTGGGTGTTGGATGGGTGTTGGTTGGGTGTTGTTTGGGTGTTAGATGGGTGTCGGTTGGGTGTTGGATGGGTGTTGTTGGGTGTTGGTTGGGTGTTAGATGGGTGTTGGTTGGGTGTTGGGTGTTGGTTGGGTGTTGTTTGGGTGTTAGGTGGGTGTTGGTTGGGTGTTGGATGGGTGTTGGTTGGGTGTTAGATGGGTGTTGGTTGGGTGTTCGTTGGGTGTTGGATGGGTGTTGGTTGGGTGTTGGTTGGGTGTTAGATGGGTGTTGTTTGGGTGTTGGATGGGTGTTGGTTGGGTGTTGGTTGGGTGTTGGATGGGTGTTGGTTGGGTGTTGGTTGGGTGTTGTTTGGGTGTTAGATGGGTGTTAGATGGGTGTTGGTTGGGTGTTGGATGGGTGTTGGTTGGGTGTTGTTTGGGTGTTGGATGGGTGTTGGTTGGGTGTTGTTTGGGTGTTAGATGGGTGTTGGTTGGGTGTTGGTTGGGTGTTAGATGGGTGTTGGTTGGGTGTTGGTTGGGTGTTAGATGGGTGTTGTTTGGGTGTTGGTTGGGTGTTGGTTGGGTGTTAGATGGGTGTTGGTTGGGTGTTGTTTGGGTGTTAGATGGGTGTTGGTTGGGTGTTGGATGGGTGTTGGTTGGGTGTTGTTTGGGTGTTAGATGGGTGTTGGTTGGGTGTTAGATGGGTGTTGGTTGGGTGTTGGATGGGTGGTGGTTGGGTGTTGGTTGGGTGTTGTTTGAGTGTTAGATGGGTGTTGGTTGGGTGTTGGATGGGTGTTGGTTGGGTGTTGGTTGGGTGTCACAGAGTTCCAGATTCGACTTGCGTCTAGAACTCTCTCTCTACTTCCAGACAGAGTTCCAGATGTGACTGACGTCTAGAACTCTCTCTACTTCCACACAGAGTTCCAGATGCGACTGACGTCTAGAACTCTCTCTCTACTTCCAGATAGAGTTCCAGATGCGACTGACGTCTAGAACTCTCTCTCTACTTCCAGACAGAGTTCCAGATGGGACTGACGTCTAGAACTCTCTCTACTTCCAGACAGAGTTCCAGATGTGACTGACGTCTAGAACTCTCTCTCTACTTCCAGACAGAGTTCCAGATGCGACTGACGTCTAGAACTCTCTCTCTACTTCCAGACAGAGTTCCAGATGTGACTGGCGTCTAGAACTCTCTCTCTACTTCCACGCAGAGTTCCAGATGGGACTGACGTCTAGAACTCTCTCTCTACTTCCAGACAGAGTTCCAGATGTGACTGACGTCTAGAACTCTCTCTCTCTACTTCCACGCAGAGTTCCAGATGGGACTGACGTCTAGAACTCTCTCTCTACTTCCAGACAGAGTTCCAGATGCGACTGACGTCTAGAACTCTCTCTCTACTTCCCGACAGAGTTCCAGATGTGACTGACGTCTAGAACTCTCTCTCTCTACTTCCTCACAGAGTTCCAGATTCGACTTGCGTCTAGAACTCTCTCTCTACTTCCAGACAGAGTTCCAGATGTGACTGACGTCTAGAACTCTCTCTACTTCCACACAGAGTTCCAGATGTGACTGACGTCTAGAACTCTCTCTCTACTTCCACGCAGAGTTCCAGATGCGACTGACGTCTAGAACTCTCTCTCTACTTCCAGACAGAGTTCCAGATGCGACTGACGTCTACAACTCTCTCTCTACTTCCAGACAGAGTTCCAGATGGGACTGACGTCTAGAACTCTCTCTACTTCCAGACAGAGTTCCAGATGTGACTGACGTCTAGAACTCTCTCTACTTCCACACAGAGTTCCAGATGTGACTGACGTCTAGAACTCTCTCTCTACTTCCAGATAGAGTTCCAGATGCGACTGACGTCTAGAACTCTCTCTCTACTTCCAGATAGAGTTCCAGATGTGACTGACGTCTAGAACTCGCTCTCTACTTCCAGACAGAGTTCCAGATGTGACTGACGTCTAGAACTCTCTCTCTACTTCCTCACAGAGTTCCAGATGCGACTGACGTCTAGAACTCTCTCTCTACTTCCACGCAGAGTTCCAGATGTGACTGACGTCTAGAACTCTCTCTCTCTACTTCCTCACAGAGTTCCAGATGCGACTGACGTCTAGACCTCTCTCTACTTCCAGACAGAGTTCCAGATGTGACTGACGTCTAGAACTCTCTCTCTACTTCCACGCAGAGTTCCAGATGCGACTGACGTCTAGAACTCTCTCTCTACTTCCAGACAGAGTTCCAGATGCGACTGACGTCTAGAACTCTCTCTCTACTTCCAGACAGAGTTCCAGATGCGACTGACGTCTAGAACTCTCTCTACTTCCTCACAGAGTTCCAGATGCGTCTGACGTCTAGAACTCTCTACTTCCACGCAGAGTTCCAGATGTGACTGACGTCTAGAACTCTCTCTCTACTTCCAAGCAGAGTTCCAGATGTGACTGATGTCTAGAACTCTCTCTCTACTTCCACGCAGAGTTCCAGATGTGACTGACGTCTAGAACTCTCTCTCTCTACTTCCTCACAGAGTTCAAGATGTGACTGATGTCTAGAACTCGCTCTCTACTTCGACAGAGTTCCAGATGGGACTGAATTGGAACTCTGTCATACTTCTTCCACGCCAGAGGTTGGCGACTGAAAGACAAATTTGTGGTGACAAGATTCTTTAAGAGTGGACTTTAGAGATAGCATGTTAGCTTTCTAACAGCTGTGGAGTCTGTCAGAAAAAAATGGATTGCTTATTTGTATACATGTAAGTTGAGGGTGGCTAGGAGATGTTGACTGCCTTGCCTGGTATACAGGTCGTGGGTTCGATGCTGACCCTGACACTTGTATATCTGGAGTTGGCACGCTCTCCCCGTGGTCGCGTGGATTTTTCTACAGGTCCTCCGGTTTTTCCTTCCACATTTAGAATCAACATTATGCGTTAAGGGTATTTGGCTGCTATAAATTTCCATGTGACGACAAGTCACTCAGTTGAGCTATCATTTGTGATAGCCAGGTCGCTTATGAAAAAGAGCTGGGTATAGCTCAGTGGGCCTTACCTGATATAATAAAACGTTTTAAGGGATTGTTTTACAATGTAGAATGTAAATAAATACGGCAAAAGTTCTGTTATCCGGCATCATCAGGAATGAAGGGGTTCAGGTTAAAGATGCCGGTTACTTTAGACTTTAGAGAGTTATAATTACGGTGCACCAAATTTTCCAAGTAGTAAACTTTTTCAAAGAAAAAACTATGATACAAGAAATAATATTACCCTTTTACAGAGGCACTTACCGGTCAGTTGCAGAGCATTCTTAGTTGATTGCAGAAAATCAGTGGGGGGCCGTTCAGAGTACAGTATACAGTAGTACAGCGCTGTACGTACAGACTTCCGCTAGCTCCACCGCTCGGCAGCGTCCTGAAGTTTCCCTAAACAACGACAACAACAATGGATCTACGGCAAGCGCACGGAAAGATGCCGGATGGCTGTCAGAATTTTTTCTGGATCCGTGCAGGAAACATTTGTATTTCCGTCTATGACGAGATGCCCGTTAATAGAGCATTCCGGATGGTAAAGTGCCTGATAACAGACCTCTTGCTGTCACCACTGTTGGTATGGTTTTTGTTCAGGGTAAATCTTTTCCATGGCGTTGACTATTTGGCATATCTTGCAAAATTTGTAAAAATGCACGAATAATTGATGTATTCTTCCGTTCCTGTTCACAGTTTTACTCCACACAACCCTTAATTTTTACCCAAAGTTATCGCCTTTAACGAGACAAGAAGCATCACCAGCATGGCGTGCGCAGTGGCCGCCCCTCTACTGGAGCCGAGCGGGGACTTCCCGGCGTGGCTGGAGGCGCAGGGCGTGAACGCGGAGGTGGCCCGGGCCATGGACTCGGAGCTGGGCATCCGGGACTACGGGGTCCTGCGCGCCTGCGTCGGGGACAGCCTCGTGCGGGCCGAGCTGCTGGCCACGGCGCGCGACCGCCTGCCCTTCGGCTTCTACGCCGTGCTGCGGCAGGTGGTGAAGGCCCTGCGGGGCGCCGAGCGCCACGACGGTGCCGGGACGCCGCGCTGGGACGACGACGACGACGACGCCGCCGCCTCCCCGTGTGGCGACGTGACGCTGGCAGGCCTGGTGGAGGTGCTGCTCGCGCTGTTCAGTGGCTTGAGCCGGGAGCTGCTGCTGTCCGCGCGGAGGCTGGGCGAGTGGGATGGACTGACGCATCCCACAGCTTTATCAGCCACAGGTGCTGACAGTCCTGAAAATGTGGGGCTGGAAACTATGGATGACCAAGAAAACAGTGATGGGGATTTCACTTTAACCGCAAGAGCAGTCACTCCCATGGATGCAGCAGATGATTTTGTTGCTTGTCCAGCGGAAGGTAATGTGCACGGTGTTGACGTAGTGCTTTTGATTTTAAATTTCTCGTCTCCGGTGAGATGTTAGGCCTGTGATTATATTTGATCCCGTTTATATTTAATCTGTGCGATCGTTGCTACGAACGCCCGCTGGCCCAAACTGCCACAAGACAATACCAAACGCAGCGGTTTTTGTTTTCCAGGTGAGGCTGAGGCTCGCCAGTTGTTATCCGATGAGCTCTTAAACCACGATAAGATGTTGACTGTCATCAAAGTTGAGACCACCGAAGGTAAGGTTTTGGCCAAGAGAACTGTTTAAGTCAGTGAGTGCATTTGTTTTTGTATACGGCTCAAGTTGAGCATTATGTCCGACGCTCTCTTCAAAGCAAGGTGAAACTCTAAAGGAAACGTCTCCCTGACTGTCCGTCATGAGCTGCAGGCTTTGTTAGTGACACAGTAGGCTCTTGTAGATCCCCATAGAATGAAAATAAAGTGTTGTTTATGCCCTCAACTTTTGTACTGATTGGTGCGGGCACGAAATGGTCTGTCATGGAGCTTTTACAAACCTGAAAAGACTTTTTTTTTTACCCAATTGATGGAAAGCATCGTCGTGTCTCGAGTTGTCCGCATCGGATTTTTCTGACGGCTTATTGTATTTCGTTTGTAAGAGTAATTGTGAAAAAGAGGTGTCCAAGGGAACAGGTTCACCAAATTCCATTGTTAGGGCACATTAATTCAAAACGGTTATAGTGGGTTATCATCCTGCACTCCCAACTGTTGACGGGCACATCTTTAATTTCCTACAACCGATTAGCATCGAGTCTTAAGCGGTAGGCTTGTGCGTGTGGCGTGGTGGCAGAATACTCTATCCTACAGGGGGCACAGGTTAATGAGTGCGTGTTTTGGTCCGAGTTATTTATATCACTTTGGAAATTCTTATTTTGGGGGAGCCTTTTAGGTTTACCCTTTGAGTTCGGACATTCATGCATTCTCGCGCACTTGCCCTGCTCGATCCTGAATCGTTGTCCGTTGGTGTTTGATTTATCCCGCAGAGGAGAAGTGGAACCCAGTTGCAGACTTCGAAGATTTTGACCCCGGGCAGACGTTGCAGAGAGTGAAAACGGAAACCCGCGGAGGTGACGTAACATATTAAAACCCGATTGCAGCAAAACCCCTCTTATCTGCGGCTCCTGCTGTCAGCGGTGCTGAATTGATCTGCGACGATTCATTTTAATGAAATGTTTTCAGGTGTCACATGGAAAATTCGCTATATTATTACGGATAAATGAGTCGATGTATTTTGCCTCCTGTAAGAGGGACGACGCGCGCGAAACACTTGGCACGGTGCTTCGGGCAGAAAACCAACCGCAGACGACGGGATTAGCAGCCATCGCGTGCGGAAAATTACGTCGAGACAAAACCCCGTTGACCGTTTTGGGTTTTGTCGCCTTTTCCTCCCCTGCAGGCACGAGGAGCTCCCACGATCGCTCGCGGCCCGTCGTCGCGGACGTCGACTTTCTGCGGGACGCCCAAGCGGACGCGCCCCCCGTGGGCAGTTTACCCGCGCCTGCCCGTACGCGGCGGCCGGCGTTTGGCAGAATGCGCGTCGGCAACGCCGCGGCCGCCGCGAGTGGCGCGTGCGAGGCCGAGCGGCAGCTCGCGATGGGATACGCCCGGGGCGAGCAGGCCGCGGACAAAGACGTGGCTCTGCCGCAGGAGGAGGATCGCCGCGACTTTGCCTTCGCCGGCGACGGTCAATCGCCGGCGTTTGAGCCGATTCGACGGAGGTCGCTCAAGGTGGCCGCGGGCAAGAAGTTGTTCGGCTGCCGGGTTTGCGGGCACTTCTTCTCGATGAGGTGCAGCCTGGTTCGCCACCAGCGCTTGCACACGGGCGAGAAGCCCTACTCGTGCAACGTGTGCAACCACCTCTTCTCCTCGAGCTCCCACCTCAAGTCGCACGAGCGGACGCACACGGGAGAGCGGCCCTACCGCTGCGAGGTGTGCAAGCAGAACTTCTCGCAGCTGAGCACGCTGAGGCGCCACGAGCTGACGCACACGGGCGAGCGGCCGTACCGCTGCAGCGAGTGCAGCCAGACCTTCACGCGGAAGAACGTCCTGAAGAAGCACGAGCGAACGCACGCGAGCAAGAGGCCCTACCGCTGCGGCGTGTGCGGTCAGACCTTCACCAAATCGTCGTCTTTGAAGTTCCACCAGCGCACACAGGTGGCGTGCTCCGGAATCGGCGATTTAAACTAAAACGTTTTCTTTTTTTTAACCAAGTAAGGCCCTGCTGTGATGGGAAAAAAAGATAGCTTATCGAACCCTCCTACATACCAAGCAAGGGAGATAACATCGCAAACACTTTCGCTTGCCACCCTCATACGAAAGACGTTTTTGCATTTTAATTCATGTTTGTGACAAATCTTACTGAATTGGCTGTGTCGATTGGTGGCGGGATTAACGACACATATTTACGAGATCTAACCCAAAAAAAAAACTTGTATGGATATTGGTCGCGAAAGCTTACATGTTAAACATAGTTCATGTTATTACTCATAAATTGTATTATCGTCACTATGCTTTGCGAGAATCGTTTACTTGGTGAAATACGTTTTTAACTTAGTGTCTTCGTTGTGCTCCGAGTAGTGTAGAGAGACACAAGCACTCGTGAACAACGTGGTTTCTCAATAATCGCGCAAGAGTTACAGGTACAGTGCAAGCAAGCCAGCTTCTCTAAAATGTATTCATTGTTTGAGGCCCCATCTGCCTGTTACAAGTTGATTCGTGAAGAGAAGAGAGTAAACTGTGCAGACATCTCTTGATATGTTTTTCAAGAGAGAGGAAACACGAGCACCAAAGGGAATTAGCATCTGCAGAACATGGAAGGACCCAGTGGCATCAACATCTGCAGAACACGGAAGGACCCAGTGGCATCTACATCTGCAGAACACGGAAGGACCCAGTGGCATCAACATCTGCAGAACGTGAAAAATCAGTGGCATCCGAAGAACGTGAAGAACCAGTGGCATCTACAGGTCCGGTTCAAACATTTATTATTGGTTGTGAGTGGGAATCAGTCGGGTCACCTGACCCAACATTGGCATGTTTACTGGGTAGGCTGGCCAAACAAGAGACGGACAAAGTCAGGAGTTGGATGGCCGCTGGTTGTCTTTAGGTGCATAGGTCGCTTATCCTCCTTGGGTTCCTCGGCTGATGTGCTGCGAACTTCCGCCCCCTCTCACTAGTCTACGCAGGGGCAGAAGTTCACTGCGCTCCGGCCTGCTCCAGGAACTCGCACACAAAGAAAACCACGAGGTGCACAGTGAAATAACGCGATGCGCATCGTAACTGGAACCCTCGAGACCGACGCCAATCCCCTGGGCTCCCACGTGTTCTGGCAAACATTCTGCCACCAAATACCTGCAGCGATGTGCATCCCGCAAAGGACTTTACACGTTTTTTTCTTCCAACGGCAACCACCGAACCGTCAACTAAGGCCCTCAACCATTGTACATTAACCCCCGATATGGCACGGTTGGCTTCGTACGGCGCGGAAGAAGTTCAACGTAAATGCATACTTACCTTGCCGCCGACTCAATTCCCGATCCCCCTTATGGGATTGTGGCATCACCATCCTAGAATCTGCTGGCTAACGGAGTGAAACAACGCAGACGTCCGCAATAATAAACGCCTCATTCAAGACCCAAATCATCGCCGCACCTTGCTTTGACATTCCTCCTCAAAGATGGTGGTGGAACCGTCAACCTCATTGGAATATCATCCGCAGGCCCGATGCGCACGTCTCCGTCATTGGAAGGACAATTAGAGACGAGCCACAGTCGTGCAATTGTGGCCATGGATCCAAGAAACTATGGGCTCTGTAGACCGAAGGGAAATGGGTTGGACGTTTGGTATTCTTAGCCACTCGTCCGACTTGGCGGCCGGGGGGCGAGCTGTCTGCTTGCTGCTTTTGCCTGTTGTCTTTTCCTACATGCTGAACTTCGGTCTTGGCATTAAAACCCTCTTGGTCACCGTTACTATCAAACCACTTACGGTGTTCCCACAATGAACGAGTCAATCTGTAACGCGACGAAGTTTAGTGGCTTGCGCAACTCTTTTGACCAGGCTTTCGCATGCTCCAGTCAGCACGACCTGCCATTCTCCCGTGTTTCCGCATTGACCAATCGACCCCCCCCCCCCACCGTTCAAAAACGGTGGCGCATTAACTTGTTCCACGCGATGCGCCAAGCACCTGCGGGTTACCAGTCACGAGAGCGCGCTTGTTGTGAACGTCAGGTTTGTCCGCCTGTACCCTTAAGACTGTTCTTTCATTATACCTAATAAACTGGAAATAAATAAACTGGAAACTGGAAATTATTAACCGGAGTTGAGCAAGTGTCCATGGTAATGGGACGTTACCGAATAAAGATCTCTGTTGAAGACATCCGAATGGACAGTCCCTCCCCATCCGTGCTACATTACCCCCAAGTTGCCCGCAATGTTGAGTAAATCACGCCGACACAAACGGTGCCCGTGGCGGTTGACCTGCTAACCCCGTTGACATTACGTACGCACATTAATGTACGCTTTTGCCTGCCTGGCGGCTCGGCACATACAAATGCGCACTCCAGGAGCTTTTGTTGTTATGGGTTGGGCAAGCACAGGCGGTGGCCTGCAATTGGTTATTTGGTATCGTGGCCATGGGTTTGGTACTTTGGTGGACAGCTGTAAGAACGGTCCGGTGATTCAACGTTGAGCCTCACGTGCGCACCGAGCTCTACCAATACGGCCAGGCGCATTCTCGGCGATGCATTTGAGCCACCCGAGTTCCGATTTGGTCAAGCTCCAGGCGACAAGAGCAGCATGGGTGCGTGTGTGGTGTTTGTGGTGTGAGGGTTCGAAATTGGTTGTGGGCTTTATCTGGTAGGATGGGGGATGGTTTAAATTTTATTGGTGTTTGGGTGATTTGTTTACATTTCTTAAACTTTGAACTCATGTTTTTTTGCTGTCGTAACGTTCTTACCAGCTTTATAGCTCATCGGATTCTTCCAGTATAAAGATTCAGATTCTGTCTGGTAATTGTTAGTGGTCAAGTTGATGACAAGTACATCCTTGGGAGGACATTTTAAAAAAGTGTCGCCATCAACGGAATCACACTGCATGCTCCTGGCCCCTTTCAAGGCCCCATGAACTCTTATAGAACGCGGTGCAGCTCGGATACAAACCACAGTCACCCACGTACTTCGGTGTTTTTTTTATAATCCTGCACTCATTTATGATAATGGCTGGAGAAAAATGAGGCCTGGCTACGCCCGCGAATCACAAAATCATCATCGTTACGTATGTCGAACCTTCCGCACCGTACGTAGCCGAGTGCTAAAAATCGGAGGTACGGGGGAAGGACGACAAGTGAGTCGTGTCGAGTGTTACCCTCTCATATGGTTAGTTGGGGGTTCTCACGAAACTGTTTCCTCCCACGGATCCAAAGCACTCGTGTATGGCAGCCAACCGTTGCAGATATATCAGGACCCTTGAGACGGCGAGGCTTTCCTGGGGGAAAACAATGTATTTCATCACAATTATAATAATCAACCTCGATTGGGCGCGACCTGCTTTACGCCACCGACCGCCCACCCCGGGTGAACCTTTCGCTTCAGCGCGGGCCGTTAGTCCGGACGGCTTCCAAGCGCTGCGCAGGTCACACCGCTCTTTAAGAAAAAAGATAAGAAAAGGCTTGAGCTACAGCGACCCCACGAACTGGCATACCCCCATCTTAAACTTAAAAGGTTATTTAAAAGGTTGTTAGAGCGCCTCGTCGCAGTTGGCACGAGTCGGTAATTCCCACGGCACCGACGGCCTCTACAGGATCGCTGACAAACGGTGCACCGCAGCGTTGGTTCGGCCTGGATCTCTCCGCTGCCTTCGACAACACTGACCACGAGACCCTCGCCGGGTGGCTAATGTCAAGGTTTGGCGTGACGGGTACAGCACCGAGGTGGATTTAGGCCATAACCTTGATGGCGGATCACAGTTCGTCAAGCTGGGTGGATATCAGTCGTCGCCTGTGCCGAGCCTGGTGGGCCCTCCTACAGGGATCCGTCCTTGGGTCTCTCCGTTTGTCAATGTCAAATTTTTGCGCGACATCACGTTCCATCAGTATGCCGACGATAACGCAGCTGTGTTGTGCGGCCTCGGCATCCTCGAAGACTGCACGCGAGCGGATGCTTGTGTGGTTCGCACAAAATGAGAAGCTGCTCGACCTAGAGAAGGTCGGAGATCCTGCCTGGTGAGCAGCTGGGCTCAGACGGGAACATTTGTGGATCGGTGGTCGCAGACTCCAAAGATTTTAGTTTTCTGCTCGAGACGAACGAGTCTCGACACCACACAATCAACCGTTGATGTTGCTTGATCACCACGTGCAAAATACGGGTCAGATCCTGCAATTCCAATATTTCGGCTAACCGTCTAGTCATGACATGGCCAACAAGGTGGCATGCAGCAAAGTATTGATGAGGCTGGACTATTGCAACTCACTACTACTCCCAACAGGACATAAAAAAAAAACATTAGCGAGCTACAGGGCGTGTACAAAATTCGTTGACGCGTGTGTCGCGACGAGAACTTCCAAGATCCGACCGTATCTCCGATTAGCACGGTTGGCCGCTTACGGTACCAAAGAAGTTCAACGTACGTATCCGTCTAGCGCTTCCCGGTTGCTCAACATATACATGAACAGGTTCTGCTTATTATTTAGACGGTGCTCGCTGCCAACGAACCTTGCCGAGAGACTGTCAAAAAACACAGACCAGCGTGCCAAACCCCAGCATTCAGCCACCCACCGAAGACGGCCACTGCATCGCATGCTGTTAGTTGTGCCCTCTGCACCTGGTCTGGAAAACTCTCTTCTGCCATTAGAAGCCCACTGAAACTGTGCACTTTTGTAATCCAAACTGAAAAATGTATTTATTTAGGACTGCTTTTAGCGTATAGCCCCTTCCCCCGCACCTCCGATGAACACGGTGGGCTGCGTACGTTGTGAAAGAAGTTTAACGTACAAAAACAAAGATCCCACCCGTGTAGCCTTTACAGACTGTAGGGGCAAGTGCTGTTGGCGAGCACCTATGAAGGCCGGAACGGCACATGAGGGGGTGGGTGGCCAGCACCATGCCCGACCGCCTTTGTCTCCCCAGTGGCGATGTTTACTACACACCGCATCAGGTACTCATTTGAGGCTGAGTCGACCTCGGGGGAGGCCCAGAACCGGTTCAGATGATCGCCACCGGTGCGAAAGCCCCCATGTGTTTGCGCTGGTGGAACTTCAAAGAGGACGACTGCGTGAACGCCCGACCGCAGACATCGCAGCGGAAGGGCTTCTCGCCCGTGTGCGTGCGCTCGTGGTCCTTCAGGACGTTCTTCCACGCGAAGGTCTGACCGCACGTGCCGCAGCGGTAGGGCTTCTCGCCCGTGTGCTTGCGCTGGTGGCGTTTCAGCGTGCCCGGGAGCGGGAAGTCCTGCCCGCACACCTTGCATCGGTACGGCCTCTCGCCCGTGTGCGTGCGCTCGTGCCGTTTCAGCGTGTCCACCCGCGAGAACTCCTGCCCGCACACCTTGCAGCGGTGCGGCCTCTCGCCCGTGTGCATGCGCTGGTGGTGTGTCAGGTTGCGCCGCATGGAGAAGGTTTTCCCGCAGATCCTGCAGCTGTGGCACGCCGGTACGATCGCGAGCGGATCGTCGTCCGCGACGGAACATCCTCGGTAGGTCGCCGGAGGCGAGGCCACGTCCTTGCCCACGGCCTCCCAGTCGAGCGCAGGACCCATCGCGAGCTGCTCGGGCGTGCACGTGGCGGCCGCGGCTTTGTTGCCGCGCCTCACGTCAGCCGCCGGCTGATGCGTCCGGGGAAAGCGGAGGAAATTGTCGACGAGCGGAGGGTTTGCTTGGGCTGCCTGCAGCGATTTCACGTCCGCAATGAGGAGTCGCGGGCGATCGCGAGAGTGTTTGTTGCCTGCGGGAGAGAGAGCGGCAGTTGGCGATGCTGGTGACCAAAAAAAACTTTCAAAGGCTTCGATTCAATGCACATGTGGCTGGGTAATTTTCTTAACTGCCACTTTAGCTCAGCAACTTACGAGCATCCGACTGCACACAATGACTCAATTGTATTTCCACATCTGCAGTTTGATGGGCAATTTTGCTCAAAATACCAGCACAGCAACCAAAAACTATTTGTATTTATACCAGATAATGCCCACCAAGCTATATTTATAGCTCTTTTTTGGAAGCGACCTGGTCACAAATGATAGCTCAACAAAGTTGCTCTTCAAGTAAAAATGTAGAGCAGCCAAGTACTCTAAACGCACGTCGATTCTAAATGTGGAGGGAGAAAAATCCACACGTCCACGGGGAGAATGAACACGCAAACTACAAATATACAACCAGGTGTCAGGGTCGGGATCGAACCCACGACCTCTTGCATACCAGTCAAGGGAGCGAAACATCGACATTGCGGCACCACAATTTCATCATCACGATCTGTGGGCAGATAACCCGTAGATGTCTACTGAACAATTTGTCATTGGTTTCCACTTTCCTCTGTCTTGTGCCAACATGCTCGATTCACACCAAGTTAAAAACATGGGAATTGGATTCCATTGAATGGCCACAATGGCACAAAGCCCGAAAAGTATGCAAAGAAGCAGACAGAGTTTAACACGTAGGATTTCGCGACCAAAATAAAACATAAGACGGGTTGTTTTCTGAGTTAAATTGTGTAAATGTGTGTCGTTAAACCCGCCACCACCCGACGCAGCCAATTAGTGAGGTTTGTCATGTAAACAGAACGTGGCAATTCGTTACTAGTACAGCAGCGCACCGGTTGTGTGTTGGAGAGCAAAGCCACAACATGTATAATCCGAGTACGACGTTTCACCAGTAATTACAACCAGCTTCATCAGGCGACAGCCAGATTTGTTGAGAAATCCTCCTGTTTCATTCCTTAAATAGAGGGGTGGATGTAATAACACTTGTGTGCTATTCTTGGGCGAAGTGTGGGGTGATTAATGCATGCATATCAATGCCTGGGTATCCATTGCTGGTTGGGTTATTTATATGGTAATCAACGTGCATTATGCAAGCATTATGGAAACCTATTCTCGTACGTTTTGTCGTTTTTATAAAAATATCTGTACCAACGGTAATCCCTATTGAAGTATGATGACCTCCATAGCGATGCATTTAAACATTGAGGGATGCATTTAAACATTGAGGGATGCATTTAAACAATATGTTATTTGATTATTCGCTTTCAAGCAGCACTAAGCCTGTAGCTATCCAAACGGTTAAAATTATTTTTATTTCTCTCAATTTCGATTCTCTAATTCATCTTGGCCAGTAAAAACTATTTTCGCACAGAACTTCAACATTATCAAAATCAACTGAGTGCCCATGTTGGCACGCGTGTTCTGCCACTGCCGGCAGTTGTATTTGGGAGTATTTAATGTTTCTTTGGTGTTCTTTTAGTCTCGTGCTGATCAGGACTAATGTACAGCACTCAATTGATTTTGATAATGTTAAAGTTCTGTGCAAAACAATGGGCTTGCATAATGCTTGCACAATGCATAATGTACGTTGATTACCATATAAATAACCCAACCGGAAATGGCATAATGTACGTTGATTACCATATAAATAACCCAACCGGAAATGGATACCAAGTCATTGATATGCATCCATTCATCGCCCCCCCCCTCCCCCACTTCGCCCAAGAATAGCACACAAGTGTTATCACATCTACCTCTCTATTTAAGGAACGAAACAGGAGAATTTCTCCACAAACTTGGCTGTCAGCTGATGAAGCTAATTGTAATTACTGGCAAAACGTCGTACTTGGATTGTAAATGTTGTGGCTTGGCTTTCCAACACACCGGCGTGCTGAACTAGTAACGAATTGGCCACGTTCTGTTTACGTGACAAACCTTACTAATTGGCTGTGTCGGGTGATGGCGGGTTTAACGACACATTTATATATTCACGCAATCTAACCCCAAAAAACCTGCATTATGGAAGCAGGCAGAGTTTCACGCTTTGAGCGATTAACATTTGGATCGGAGGATGCACGCCCGCACACACACATGCACACACATGCACGCACACACCCACTGACTCATCGATAGCCCAGGAGCCATTTGTTTTTTTTTTTGGGTTGCACCTCGCTTTAAAGCAGTGGATTTTAACCAGAAGCGAGAGGCTGAGGGAGCTGGAGATGCGCGCGGGGGGGGGGGGGGGGGAGAAGCAGCGGCAACGGCTGCAGTCAAAACCGATGAGCCCATCGGCAACCGAAACGTCGCGATTTAATTTACCTTTACTTATTTTATTTTGTCACCTACGTGACTCTACCGAAAGAACCAAAGAGTATGTATGGATCCTTGCAGTCACCACAACTTCAAATCTAGAATCAAAGGGGTGCAAGCAAGGCTGCAGTCAAGGTTAAGAACCACTGCTTCAAAGGGAAGCGCAACGCAAGTGGGCAGGAGCCCCTTTGGGTGGGCACGGCGCAGAGGGCACACAGCGAAATGTCAGAAAGAGGAAAGGAAAGAGTGCCTTTCAACATTAGCGAGGTTCACCGTCATAGCTCTCCGCTTTTACGACCCGCTCCTTCCGGCTGAAGCCAGAATCGTCAACGCCCGAAGCCAGGCTCTGTTCAGCTAGGTCTGGATTCAAAAAAGACAAATGCACGCAGAATGGGTTGGCATTGAACAACGCTGAACGTGGCATGGTTAAGAATGTTTCACATGCAGGCTTTCGCGTAAATATGCGTCGCTAATTGGCCGTTTCGGGTGGTGGCGGGTTTAACAGACACATTTATATTTACGCGATATAATAAAAAAAAAAACTAAACCCTCTATGCGTGTTTAAGAATGTCGGTGTACGGACCTTTACGAGTTTTTACACAGAATGCTCAAGTCCATTATGGTCAAATACAGGCAGACCTCGCTTAGTGCTCAAGATGGGCGCTGAGAGGGGTCATTATACCATGGCATACATGGGGGATGCATTCCCGACAGCTTGGTTTCTATCGTACGAGCAATATACGAGGGCTTCACTTGGGGCTATCGGTAATTGCGCCACTAATAATACAGATGCGAAACGCTAATAATGTCTTTTAACATCAGTATTCTTATTCTACTGTACTGCTACAAGACAGCGGTGGGAAGAGTTACAATCCTTCATGGAGATGTTAAAGCGAAGGAGGCGGGTAGACCGACCGCCGGGTTTCTATTCAGACTTCGAGGTCACAAGCGTGATGATAACTCAAAAAACATGGCATGAAGCCGATTGCCCGTGAAACTGTTTTCTGGAGAGATCTTACAAGCGCAGCAGGGTCTCAACTATGGCGATGGTCATCATCCGATCGTGGTGGAAAAGGTCATTGGACAAAAAAACTGCGTAGCTCCTCACCTGTAAACCAGTAAGTGTCTGGTACTGCCTTGTGGCAGTTTGGGTCTGGACACTTTTGGCAAAGCAGCACAGACCCCGCATGCATATGAAGGACCTTCCAGCTGCATAAGTACCACATTAATCTCTCTGCATTTCCCATGGGTGGGAGGGACTGAACTTGTGGTTAAAGTGAAACCCACAGCACCGGGTTCCACGCTTCTTTGCGTACTGTTCAGATTGTGTTCCGGTTTTAATGACCATGTAATAGATGGTATGTGCCAATAAAAAAACACGCACGTTTTCTCTCACGATTACGACGTTTCAAAAACACTTGAACCAGCTCTCATCGGCCTCCGTTCGCCAATTTTGGTTCGGATCTGCTCCCGGTAGCTGTGCGGAGTAAACGCTCTGTATCCCTTGTGACCTCCGGGTGAAAGGAACTTTAGAGGTTTAAATTACTATTGTTTTCCACTTGCCTCTCTCCAGCCGATAGCTCCAATTGTTTAGCAAACTTGCTGTACATCACCTTGACTTTGCTCATTTATCTTCAGCCCAAACTTTGCTCCCTTCATCAAGTTCTTTTAACATTTCCTAGAGCTCATTATAGCTCATCGGATGCCTCCAGTAAAAATAATATATTCTGATTCTGAGCATTGTGTCGGACTTGTTCCTCATCAGCCCCTGATAATGATCTCGTTGGTTTTATTGAAGGCATCTCATTGAAGAAACACCATCAATATTATAATAGGGTTTTCCCCCTTTTTTCTGGCAACAAAACTGAAACCTTTTTACAAGGATTCATGTCTGCATTAACCACAATACCTGCAGTCAAAATGCAAACAAAAACATGATAATATATGCATTGTCCTTGAAACTGATTGGTCCACACCAAGGGACGGCTTTCTTTTGAGCCTCGACCAAATTGGTGCTCGACCAGATGACGCCAAAAGGCCTTTTGTAAAAAGGTTTCAGTTTTGTTGCCAGAAAAAAAAGGGAAAAACCCTATTATTATATTTTGGTACTGGCAAAGGAGGTCTAATGATGTAGAAACACCATCAAGTTTTGTTTCACACCACGGTAAAGCTACTGCCGGGCCCTGTCACCGTGAACAGTTTTAAAGGGCGAAAAAAATCTTACCAGCGCAGGTCTCAACTTTGATGGTCATCAACTGATCGCGTTGGAGAAGTTCATCAGATAACAACTTTGGCTCCTCAGCCTCACCTGTAAAAACAAGTCAATACTGCGTTTTAGCAGTTTGGTTCGGTGGGACGCTTTGGAAACGCAGCACAAATTTAAATGTATGCATTTAACACCAAAACGGATATTTTATGCATGTGGAACTTATTTTGCACCGTACATAGTCAACTGTGCTAAAATAGGAGGTGCATTTAGGTAGTTTCATTACAGGACACAGGGCACATTACCTTCTCCTGCACAAACACCGAAATCTACTGCATCCATGGGGGCAGCTGCTCTTGTGATTAAAGTGAAACCCTCATCACTGCATTCTTGGTCATCCATGGCTCCCAGCCCCACATCTTCAGGACTGCCAGCACCTGTGGCTGATAAACCTGTGGGATGCGTCAGTCCATCCCACTCGCCCAGCCTCCGCGCGGACAGCAGCAGCTCCCGGCTCAGGCCGCTGAACAGTGCGAGCAGCACGTCCACCAGGCCTCCCAGCGTCACGTCGCCACAGGGGGAGGAGGCGGTGGCGTCGTCCCAGCGCGACGTCCCAGCGTCGTGGTGCTCGGCGCCCCGCAGGGCCTTCACCACCTGCCGCAGCACGGCGTAGAAGCCGAAGGGCAGGCGGTCGCGCGCCGCGGCCAGCAGCTCGGCCCGCACGAGGCCGTCCCCGACGCAGGCGCGCAGGACCCCGTAGTCCCGGATGCCCAGCTCGGAGTCCATGGCCCGGGCCACCTCCTCGTTCACGCCCTGCGCCTCCAGCCACGCCGGGAAGTCCCCGCTCGGCTCCGGCAGCGGGACGGCCACCGCGCACGCCATGCTGGTGATGCTGCTGCTCGTTCTCAGGTCACTCGGTTTGGTGGAACTAAATGACGGTCGTGCAGATCAAATCTGTGAACAGGCGTGCATCAATTCGTTTATTTGTCCTTCCCCCACCCCCGCACCTCCGGTTAGCACGGTTAGCTACATACGGGTGCGAAACAAGTTCAACGTACACACATGCATCAATGAATTCACCCTGCATTTTTAAAAGAAACGTTAGTGACATAAAGCACGTGCAAATGATCTGAAACATGTTAAATTTAGGCTAATCGAAAGAATTCTGTACAATGCAGCACTGCAAAATAAGAGCTATAAAATGACTACGAAATCGAATTCCGCCCCCAAAGTCTGCCGATTCCTGGAATTTATTTTAAAAAGATCTGGGGCACGACTGCAGGCTTCAGAATCTGTATTTATACTGGAGGAATCTAATGAGCTACAAAGCTCTTTTTTTCAGATGTCCAGTTGGGGACACGGGGTGAGAAAGGTAACGTTACGGACATAAACACGGTGTTATTAGTTTACAAAACACACACACACAGGCTTGCGAAACGGGGAGATGCAGGGGGAGATCCAGGGGGGAGATCCAGGGCCTGCGAAACGGGGAGATCCAGGGGGAGATGCAGGGCCTGTGAAACGGGGAAATTCAGGGGGGAGATGCAGGGCCTGCGAAATGGGGAGATCCAGGGGGGAGATGCTGGGCCTGTGAAACGGGGAGATTCAGGGGGAGATCCAGGGGGAGATTCAGGGCCTGCGAAACGGGGAGATCCAGGGGGGAGATGCAGGCCCTGCGAAACGGGGAGATCCAGGGGGGAGATGCTGGGCCTGTGAAACGGGGAGATGCAGGGGGAGATGCAGGGCCTGTGAAACGGGGAGATTCAGGGAGGAGATTCAGGGCCTGTGAAACGGGGAGATTCAGGGAGGAGATGCAGGGCCTGTGAAACGGGGAGATTCAGGGACTGTGAAACGGGGAGATCCAGGGGGGAGATGCTGGGCCTGTGAAACGGGGAGATGCAGGGGGAGATGCAGGGCCTGTGAAACGGGGAGATTCAGGGAGGAGATTCAGGGCCTGTGAAACGGGGAGATGCAGGGAGGAGATTCAGGGCCTGTGAAACGGGGAGATTCAGGGGGAGATCCAGGGGGAGATTCAGGGCCTGTGAAACGGGGAGATTCAGGGAGGAGATTCAGGGCCTGTGAAACGGGGAGATTCAGGGACTGTGAAACGGGGAGATGCAGGGAGGAGATTCAGGGCCTGCGAAATGGGGAGATCCAGGGGGGAGATGCTGGGCCTGTGAAACGGGGAGATGCAGGGGGAGATGCAGGGCCTGTGAAACGGGGAGATTCAGGGAGGCGATTCAGGGCCTGTGAAACGGGGAGATTCAGGGGGAGATCCAGGGGGAGATTCAGGGCCTGTGAAACGGGGAGATTCAGGGAGGAGATGCAGGGCCTGTGAAACGGGGAGATGCAGGGAGGAGATTCAGGGCCTGTGAAACGGGGAGATTCAGGGGGAGATCCAGGGGGAGATTCAGGGCCTGCGAAATGGGGAGATCCAGGGGGGAGATGCTGGGCCTGTGAAACGGGGAGATGCAGGGGGAGATGCAGGGCCTGTGAAACGGGGAGATTCAGGGAGGAGATTCAAGGCCTGTGAAACGGGGAGATGCAGGGGGAGATGCAGGGCCTGTGAAACGGGGAGATTCATGGAGATGCAGGGACTGTGAAACGGGGAGATTCAGGGGGAGATCCAGGGGGAGATTCAGGGACTGTGAAACGGGGAGATTCAGGGGGAGATCCAGGAGGAGATTCAGGGCCTGTGAAACGGGGAGATGCAGGGGGGAGATTCAGGGACTGTGAAACGGGGAGATTCAGGGGGGAGATACTGGGCCTGTGAAACGGGGAGATTCAGGGGGGAGATGTAGGGCCTGTGAAACGGGGAGATCCAGGGGGAGATGCAGGGCCTGTGAAACGGGGAGATCAACTTACGTGTTCTATGAAGATGTAGCAGCATAAGGAGATGAGGAGTGAATCAGCCTCAAAGTTGGGTCCTTCCCTTTAAACAAAAAAACATCACAAAGTCAAAACCGCTACAGCGTTTTGCAAAGCGGTACAGTTTGCACGCTACGCGATGTTGTGATGCTATTGTTGTTGTGATGCTAGTGGTGTTGTTGTTGATTATATTTCAACAACACGAGGCCCTGTAGAGAGAGACACAGAGAGCACTCTTTACACGCGACGTGGGAGGGGGCGACTGGTCACGGAGACGCAACTCCCGCAAGGATCTTAAGTCTGTGCTCTCGAGTTTAAAGAAGGCGGAAGAGTAAGGAAGGGGGAGAGTGTTCGTTTGTTAAACGTCACGTTAGCCTCACGTAAATAACAACAACATCAACAACATCACCTGCCGAACGCGGAACGAGAAACGCCCGAGTCTTTTTGCCTCTGCCGGGGCTGGCTGCTGCTGATGATGATGATGCTGATGATGTCGATTCAACGTTGATGGGGGGGTGGCGGTGATGGTGGCGGTGGTGGAGGGGGCGGAGGGACCGCGGCGATTTGCACCACGCTAACCAAATACAAATTTCACTGTAAGGGGCCTTCCATAGATGACGTCACACACCCAGGCTGTAGGGGGGAGGGTCAGACAGTCGTGACGATGGGGAGGAGGGTTTGAGAAATTTGACGTCACTTCAAAATGCGCAACTTTAAATAAATATAGACAACACGTTCTACTTAATTAAATAGACTTTTTTTAAACAAATGTTTTCTCCTGCAACATCAGAGTGCGGCGCCACATTAAATACGCACTACAATGACAATAGTTTGAAGCGATTTGAAGCATGTTTTATTTTCAATATGGAAACATGGTTTGCGGGGGGGGGGGGGGGCAGAGCTTTGTGACGTCATATTTGAGGGGGGGGTCTGACATTTTGTGAGGCCGTGTGACGAAGGGGGGGGGGTCAAAAATCGTCCAATATCGCGTGACGTCATTTATGGACGGCCCCTGCCTGTAACAAAAAAATATATTTTTTGTTTCTGGGTAGTAAGTGTTATTTTCCAATTGCTTATGCCACAAAAGTACATAAAATGGCTATTATTCCCCACAAACTGTGCTTTTTGTGACCAGGACAGTGATATTTTGAAATTCACCTATTTCCAATGATAAAACGTGGTGTGCATTTCTGTCATTCCTTCACGTAAAGTCCTGGTAACAAAAGCACAGTTTGTGAGGAATAATAGCCATTTTCTATACGTTTGAGGCGTAAGCAATTAGAAAATAACGCTTACTACCCAGTAGCAAAAATCGTGTTACAAAGTGTAATCGGGACTCCTCCGTGCTGAGAGAAATCAGCTTTGGAGTCATGTCAGGCCCTTGTGAGAGAGTCCCCTACAACAACCATTGTAGCTACAGCAGATCCTGAGACAGAGCCTCTATACCCCCATTCAAGCCTTTGTAAGCCCTGGGAGAGAGTCCCCCAAATCAGCTTTAGAGCCATGGCAGCCCCTGGCGAAGAGTCCCTTATAACAACCATTGTAGCTACGGAAGATCCTGAGAGAGAGTCTCTACACCCCCATTCAAGCCTTTGTAAGCCCTGGGAGAGAGTCCTCCAAATCATCTTTAGAGTCATGTCAGGCCTTTGTGAGAGAGTCCCCTATAACAACCATTGTAGCTACGGCAAATCCTGAGAGATAGTCTCTACACCCCCATTCAAGCCTTTGTAAGCCCTGGGAGAGAGTCCTCCAAATCATCTTTAGAGTCATGTCAGGCCTTTGTGAGAGAGTCCCCTATAACAACCATTGTAGCTACGGAAAATCCTGAGAGAGTCTCTACACCCCCATTCAAGCCTTTGTAAGCCCTGGGAGAGAGTCCCCCAAATCAGCTTCAGAGTCATGTCAGTCCCTTGTGAGAGAGTCCCCTACAACAACCATTGTAGCTACGGAAGATCCTGAGAGAGAGTCTCTACACCCCCATTCAAGCCTTTGTAAGCCCTGGGAGAGAGTCCCCCAAATCAGCTTCAGAGTCATGTCAGGCCCTTGTGAGAGAGTCTCCTATAACAACCATTGTAGCTACGGAAGATCCTGAGAGAGAGTCTCTACACCCCCATTCAAGCCTTTGTAAGCCCTGGGAGAGAGTCCTCCAAATCATCTTTAGAGTCATGTCAGGCCTTTGTGAGAGAGTCCCCTATAACAACCATTGTAGCTACGGCAAATCCTGAGAGATAGTCTCTACACCCCCATTCAAGCCTTTGCAAGCCCTGGGAGAGAATCCCCAAATCAGCTTTGGAGTCATGTCAGGCCCTTGTGAGAGAGTCTCCTATAACAACCATTGTAGCTACGGCAGATCCTGAGAGTCTCTACACCACCATTCAAGCCTTTGTAAGCCCTGGGAGAGAGTCCCCCAAATCAGCTTCAGAGTCATGTCAGTCCCTTGTGAGAGAGTCCCCTACAACAACCATTGTAGCTACGGCATATCCTGAGAGAGAGTCTCTACACCCCCATTCAAGCCTTTGTAAGCCCTGGGAGAGAGTTCCCCAAATCAGCTTTAGAGTCATGTCAGTCCCTTGTGAGAGAGTCCCCTACAACAACCATTGTAGCTACGGCATATCCTGAGAGAGAGTCTCTACACCCCCATTCAAGCCTTTGTAAGCCCTGGGAGAGAGTCCCCCAAATAAGCTTCAGAGTCATGTCAGGCCCTTGTGAGAGAGTCCCCTATAACAACCATTGTAGCTACAGCAGATCCTGAGAGAGTCTCTACACCACCATTCAAGCCTTTGTAAGCCCTGGGAGAGAGTCCCCCAAATCAGCTTTGGAGCCATGGCAGCCCCTGGCGGAGAGTACCCTACAACAACCATTGTTGGAGCGATCGCAGTTCAAACGGAACGTAATGTACATGAGACATGACGTCATAAGGCATTGTACAGGCGAGCTTATTTAAAACGTGACGTCACGCACACAGGCGCGAGGGTATTTAAATCGCGACGTCATCACGCACAGACACCGTGGCGTTTAAACCGGAGCATCGCGCATTATAGACGGGCGTTTTAAATCTTGACTTAAAGCTTTCGTGACTGCAGGTAATTCATATTCTTTGGGGTCTTTCGGTAAAGTCACGTAGATAGGTTCAAAGGAAAATAACAAACAAAATCTACGTCTCGATCGCAAGACACAAGCGGTCGTTTTAACTCAGGACCGCTTGTGTCTTGCGATCGAAACGTCGTAGATTTAGTTTGTTATTTTTCTTTGAACCTATCCACGTGACTTCACCGAAAGACCCCAAAAGAATATAGGTATTTTAAAGTCGACGTCATCACGCATTGTGCACGGGCGCGAGGGTATTTAAAACGACGTGACGTCATCGCACACGATACACGGTTGGGGCTGCGTTAAGTTATCTCTACGTCATCACGCATCAAGCCGCAACGCGGGCGGTGTGCGCGATGACGTCACCGCGCCGTGTGTGTGTGCAGCGCGCGTTGACGTCAACCGTCAGAATAAAAGTCCCCTGGGAGTGCGTGCGTGAGTGATTGATGAGCGAGTGCGTGCGTGAGTGAAGGGCCGTCAATAAATGACGTCACGCGATTTTGAACGCTTTTTGACCCCCCCCCTGTCACACGACGTCACAAAAAGTCAGACCCCCCCTCCTCAAATATGACGTCACAAAGCTCTGCCCCCTCCCCCCCAAAAAAGCATATTTCCATTTAGAAAATAAAACACGCTTCAAATCGCTTTAAACTATTGTCATTGTAGTGCGTATTTAATGTGGCGCTGCACTCTGATGTTGTAGGAGACAACATTTATTAAAAAGTCTATTTAATTAAGTAGAACGTGTTGTCTACATTTATTTAAAGTTGCGCATTTTGATGTGACGTCACATTTCTCAAACCCCCTCCCCCCCCCAGCCTAGGTGCGTGACGTCATTTACGGACGGCCTCTGAGTGCGTGAGTGTGCGAGTACGCGCTTGGCTGAGCGCGTGCGTGCGCGTGTGCGTGAGTCAGTGAGCGCGTGCGTGCGCGTGCGTCAGTGAGCGCGCGTGCGTGTGCTTGCGTGCGCGTGCGTGCGTGTGCTTGCGTGCGTTTGCGTGCGTGCGTGTGAGTCAGTGAGTGCGTGTGCGTGCGCGTGCTTGCGTGCGCGTGAGTCAGTGAGTGCGTGCGTGCGCGTGCGTGCTTGCGTGCGCGCGCCACCGCGGTGCGGGGTGGGAGAATCTAAATCCCTGAGTCACTTGTTCGCCGACGACGATATTTGAAGCGGAGTGGCCGATTATAAAATTTTTATTTTAATTTATTTTAAAACAAAAGCAACGCTCTGTCTCCAAGCATGGCCACGGGCGGAGTGTAAGTAACTCATCAACGTGGTTTTTTTTTTGGGGGGGGGGGGGGGGTGGTGGTGGTGGAGGGGAGTTGTGTTTCTTACATTTCAGAGTTTTATATATTTTAAACAACAACAAATGTAATTGAATAGAGACTAGGCCGCAGGTCGCAGCTCTCGTCCAAAAACTCGGTTTAAAGAGTTCAACGCCCTCGTTATTTTGTGATCGTTTTAATGCGTCCGGGGAGAGAGTCGAGTGGGGAGTGGGGGTGGTTGTTTTTTTTTAAATCTCACATTCTCAAAACAAATAAAACATTTTTTTTTTTAAAACAGACAAATAAACCCAAACTTACCTTGCGCGTGAGGCCGTGAAAGTGTCGAGTCACGCCTCGTGAACCGTTAACGCGGCAGCGGCGGCGTCTTTTTTTTTTACAACACATTGCGAAGGGGGAACGACTCGCGTTTACGACGCCTCTATTGCTGTGTTTAGGTCCGCTGCGAAACGTCGTCCTTAACAATTGTCGACGTCGTGGGGTTTTCACTCTTTTTCACCAGCCACCACCACCAGCCACCACCACCAACCACCATCCACAACTAACGCGTGCTGTGAAGTAGTAACTAGTATACTGGTGGGTTCTTTCGGTAAAGTCACGTAGGTATATATTTTTTATTTTTCCCACCGACGTCGATGACTTTGCTACCGAAAGAACCCAACCGAGTGTTGGGATTCCTGCAGTCACGAAAGCTTAAAATCTTCAAATAGTAACTAATAGGGCACCGTTTTTGTTTTTAGTGACAACGTTACTCCGATACTAGGCCGTAATTATAATATATATTAGGAGGAGGGGACATCCCCCCCCAATATTCAAATATGCTCAAAATGCCCCCCCCCCCCAATATATTGCTATAAAATAGATTTCTGTTTATATGATTGTGGTTATGGTTGTACTTTATAAATCCCTAATCTCAGCCATTACATACAATGAAACGAGAAAAGGTAAAAAATAAAAAATACAATTCCACTATTAGACATTATTGTAAAAAATAAATAAAAGTCCATCCCATGTGTTGATGATTTTTTTAAATATTTTAGGCAGGAAATTATTTTAAAATTTAGATTTTTTTCTGTGGGGGGCGGGGGGCGGGGGGACTCCCAGACCCCCTGGAAGATTTGGTCCCCCCCAATGTTCACTCCATGGCTACGGCCTTGCTCCGACATCGCTGTCAAAACCCATACGGTTTATAACCCCCTATTCTTGTAACGGAGAAATTGAGTTTTTAGGTCCCATACGGTGTACAGCCGTTTCAATACGGGCAAAAAATGGAAACAATACAATATAAAATATATAAAAATCTAATTCTCACGACGTTTCGACTGCAACACAAGCAATCATCATCTGTGAAAACCACAGCAAGAAAATTTGAAAAAAGTGGCGTTTTTTAACGTTAGCACCACGGAGAGCGAATTGGCGGTTATTCAGATGGACGAGTCTATCTATGTTCGGAAAAGAGGAGGGGTGAGACGAAAATAATGGATGCGGTCTGAAAGCCACCGTAAGCGTGAACAATCAATTAAGACCCGAAATGGTTTATCAAATCCTTCCAGTGATTGCTAAGCCAGAATCCATCTTCTCGGTTGAAATTGTCTCTGTGTTTGTATATGTGGATAGCCTCATGAACGAATCTCATGGTAGCCAGATGGCTTGCAGATAACCTCTGTCTTGGAGAAGTCAATGTCATGTGAGCCTACTGAATTATAACAGTGATCTGCCACGGCCGAGGTGTTGGTCCTACCGTGTTTTAGGTCTGCTTTGTGTTCACGGATGCGGTCTGAGACATGTCATTTGGTTTCTCCAATGTAACTACTACCACAGAGGCAACTTAGTTTGTAGACGCCAGGGTACTGTATGTCTGGAATCACATCTTTTACAGACGGAACTAGATCATGGATTTTATGTAATGTGTTGAATCGGACCTGGATCTTGTGTTTATTCAAGATTTTGGAGATCTTTTTTGTGAGCCCCGCAATGTAGGGTAAAGTGGTGGTTTTGAATGGCTCCTCAAGAGGGTCCTTCTTCATGGTTGAAGTGATAGCTTTGCGGATTGTGTAGTCGGAGTAACCATTAGCCTTACGAGCTTGGTGTACGTGCTTGAGTTCACTGGCTATGTGTTCCTGGTCGGATATGCATTGGGCTCTATGGTGCAGAGTCCTGATGAGGGAATTCTTCTGGGATGGATGGTGGTGGGAATCCGGTTTCAGGTAAGCATCCGTATGGGTAGCTTTCCTGTAGACAGAGTGGCTCATTGAACCATCAGGTCTCTTTTTTATTAGGACATCAAAAAAAGGTAGCTTTCCATCTTTTTCGACTTCTATGGTAAATCTGATGGCTGGGTGTATGGAATTGATGTGGTCAAGGAATTGGTCTAGAGCAGGCCGGCCATATGGCCAGATGACAAAAGTGTCATCCACGTACCTCTTCCATAAGGTTGGGCGCAGAGTGCCAGTCTGGATGGCGTCAGTCTCAAATTTCTCCATGAAAATGTTGGCTACAATTGGAGATAGGGGGGAGCCCATTGGGGTGCCCTCAGTTTGTTTGTAGAAAGTTCCATTCCAAGTGAAGTATGTATTGGTTAAGCAGTGTCTCACCAGGGGGGGTACCTCAGTGTTTAGTCCTTGATGAACCAAGTCTTCAATGATTGTGATGGTGTCAGGTACAGGAACTTTGGTGAATAAGGAAACTACGTAAAAACTGACAAGCAGGTCGTCTCGGGACAGGGAAATACCTTTGATTGTCGATACCAGGTGAGTAGAATTTTGTACAGCAGAGGTGGTTTTTCCAGTGAAAGGCCGCAGGATTTCAGACAGAAAATGAGCCAGTTTGTAAGTGGGGGAGTTGATAGTAGAGAGACGATGGGATGAAGGGGTGTATCTACTCTATGTATTTTTGGTAAGCCGTATCATCTTGGTGGCCTGGCAGCAGAAGGTTTCAACAAGAACTGTTTGGTTTGATCAATTAATGCGGTTTAATTAGAAATGATTGTGTTGGTTTGTATGACGAGGCTGTTGGTGGGATCTCTTTTTATTTTTGTATAGCTGCCATCATTGAGTAATTCTTGAATTTTGTAGTTATATTCTATTTTATCCATGATGACAGTGGCATTGCCCTTGTCGGCTGAGAGGATGACAATGTCATCCCTCTTTTTTAATTTATATATTCAAAACGCTCATCGTTGCTGAGGTTGCTAGCTGGCATCTTAGCGTTTTTGAGGGTTGCAGCGATTTCACATCTTGCTACGTCTGCAGCGATGTTGACCCAGGCCCTTGAGAGCCACGTCTACTTGAGCAATGATATCATTAACTGGTATGTGTTTAGGTGTGACTGCAAAGTTTAGCCCTTTAGCTATAACTGATTTCAGACCATCGGAAATAGAACTGTTACTGCGATTAATTACGACTTTGTTAACGTCTAGCTTTTTGGTGTGTGGGTCCGGTCTATTGTTGGAGAGGAGGTTAAATTTGGAAATCAGGTTGTCCTTACATTTGGCCGACTTAGTGGCAGCTGATGAGGCAGTCATATTGTCTACATGTTCCCAATCCGATGTGATTAAAATCACGAGAGGGCATTGCACAAAGAAGGTCACTGCATAGCGCACGCTTTCAGATGCACTTCGGCGACCGTCTGGAACGCTCTTCCGTCCGATATGAACAAGCCACTGGAGCTATGCACTTTTTAATCTAGATTTAATACGCTTTTCTTAACTTATTTTTGTTTTTAGTTTGTTGTCCGATTGGCATGGTTGGCAATGTACGGTGCGAATGAGGTTCTACATACATACTAATACTCTTTAGTTGTACTAATTTGTTGAATCAGTCTGCAGTTCAGTATACACTATTTAATAATTGTCGTAAAGAGGTAGGGTAGTTTTTTCACACTTTGCCCTGTGAACCGGGGCCACCTAAGTTCGATTCCGGGCTGCGGCACATTAGTGTTGATCGAAATCTTGAACTGGTCTCTGGGCCCCTCTGAGCTGCCTTCTGCTGTACATCACACATGCCCACAGCCTTTAACATCTTACACCAGTCCTGCACGGTGGTCACCCATACAATCATTAGCCAGTCTCAACCCTGCTTTCTGAGTTCTGATGAGATAGGGCGCATTCCATGTGATTTAGTCATTTTGTTGGGATGTTGAAATTTTGACTGAGTTTGGTCCATTTGCGCGAACTGCCCTGCTGTCTTTTTATACCAACAAACGATCGCGGCCGCGCCCTCATGTTTCCCGTGCGTCTTCCCCCATATGCGTCTCTGCCACCCAGTGATGTGTCGACGGCAATCTTGAAGCAGAAGCAGAGGCCCAACCGCCTGGTGGTGGACGAGGCCATCAATGAGGACAACAGCGTGGTGTCGCTGTCTCAGGTGACGATCCCTCGCTCGCACTTCTTTGTTCTGGCATGTGGCCGGATTTTGTGTGAAAAGCGTCGAGCTTTGTGAACCACGTAACAGCTTCGGGTGGGTTTTTGTTGATACACTCGAGGTTTTTTATGAATTGTCGCACCCCTGCTCGGCTGCAGATGACTACCACAGAACGCAGTGAGGAGGAGCCAGAAGAGATAACGCCGTTGACGCGCCTCGCAATATCGCACTTGGTGATGAAATCATGCCGGCCTTGTCGGATGGATGCCTGTTGATGTCTCCCTGGCATGCCGTTGGCTGGTGTTGTGGCAATGATGATGTAATCCCTCGCAAGAGCTCTCGCGAGAGTAAGAGTTACGATCTCGTCATGACTCCCATATTTACGTTGACATATGATCCATTTTCCCTTATGGTGTTTAGGATCAAAATACAATTGTAGCTTGCTGGACTTAAAACTAATCTGAATATTCTGTACTCTGGCTTCAGGTGAGTGGCAGTGATTTGGTTGAAATTAAGAGAAACCATGACCCAGAGCTTGATCTCAGGGTCTCGGATGTGCTGGCACAAGCATCAGTCCCCTATGATACTGATCTCCTTGACTAAAACACATACCCTCAGAGATGTTGACTCATTGCGTGAGCACTTCATGTCCCTGCATTGAAACCCATACCCTCAGAGGTGCTGATTCCTTCCCCTAAAGCACCCGGCTCCTGGACTGAAATCTGTAACCTCAGAGATGCCGACTCAGTATCTCTCGTAGACATCAGCTCCCGGAGAGAGAGAAAGAGTGATGCCTAGCCGCCTCCCCCCCCCCCCCCCCCACCAGAGTTAAAAGTTGATGGCAGGTTGCTTAAACACTCGATGGTGTCCCCGCATAGCCCAAGATGGACGAGCTGCAGCTGTTCCGCGGGGACACCGTGATGCTGAAGGGCAAGAAGCGGCGCGAGACGGTGTGCATCGTGCTCTCCGACGACACGTGCTCTGACGAGAAGATCCGCATGAACCGCGTCGTGCGCAACAACCTGCGCGTGCGTCTGGGCGATGTGGTCAGGTGCGTTTTGCGCGTGCCTGCGCGAGTTTGCGCACCTGTGCGTGTGTCTGTGGTGGTGCATCGGCCAGTCGGCTCAGTCGGTTACCCCATGGCACTTGGGTCTGTGCCGTGACCTCCTGCAAAGGGGCGTTCGACACTTCATGTGGCCTCAACGGGCGCATAGTCTGGCTCAAGCGCCGTGGTGACGTCGCGGCCACTTAGTGGCGAATGGCGGTTGTTGTTGTGGGGAGCAATAGCTTTGCGCTTGGCACACTGCACTACGAACCCGGTGACCCGAGTTCGATTCCCGCTCACGGCCAACACCAGTGACGATTATCTGAACCGGTCCTGGGCCTCCTCCCCTAGGTCGACTCAGCCTCAAATGAGTACCTACCGTGATGTGTAAACATCGCGACTGAGTAGACAAAGGTGGTTTGGCGTGGTGCTGGCCACCCACCCCCTCGTGTGTTGTGCCAGCCTTCGTAGGTGCTCGCTAACAGGACTTGCCTCAACATTCTGTTAAGGCTTCTTCGGGGGATCTTTGTGTGTGGAGCGATGCTCATAACAATGAGCAGAGTGCCGGGTGACTAAAACACAGAAAGTTGAGTGTGGTGCACAGTTGGTGGCATCTGTCATCTCCATCAACCCATAATACCTGGGTCCTGTAACATCCTGCCAGCGAGCCTTTGACAACTCCACGTGGCCTCAAGGCGCATCTAGCCTGGCACAAGCGCTATGGTGACTTTACCGCCATTTAGCGACGAACGGTCGTTTGTGAGTGGTACAGTGGAGCGGGAGCATAGCAGCGTAATGCACTACGAACCCAGCTGCCCTGTGCTCGTGTTCTGGTATCTATTCAAAATCTTAAATCAAATTGTTTGTTCAACGTCGTCGTGAATGTCGTGTCCACCGTTTGCTTTAGGGGTCATGTCAACCCCTTATTACAAATATGAAGGGAAAAAACATCCAATTCTTACGCATTTTTTAATGGCTGCTGTGTTGTGTCCACATCGCGTGCGTGCATGCAGCATCCAGGCCTGCCCGGACGTCAAGTACGGCAAGCGAGTGCACGTGCTGCCCATTGACGACACGGTGGAGGGCATCACGGGAAACCTGTTTGAGGTCTACCTCAAGCCGTACTTCCTGGAGGCTTACCGGCCTGTACGCAAAGGTGGGGCATCTCTTGCCTCCTCTCCGTGACAACCCTGTGAAACGGGTGTTTTTGCCAGCCCCCAGAACAGCCCAGTTCTGGTGGCCAAGCGGCAGGTTCTGGGCTCTCATTCACCCCCATCGCTGCGTAATCTCTGAGCTTTGACCATTCAGCATTCTGCTTTCTCTGCCACTTACACCTCCCTAGCCGCAAGCAGCCGTGTGACCAACTTGCCGTGGATAAACCACCACATCTTGTCACATCTCCCGAAGCCAAGCTGTGTTGAAATGGATGGGAGGCTGCCTGGCAATACCAGGTGTGATGTGTGCGTGGGGCTGCTACGTGGGCAGGCGATGGCAGCGTAGCGAATGGATTGCATCTACCTGTGCGGAGCTCTGAGTCTTAACTCACCATCCATATAAGGAGGTTTCCCCCAGGTACTCTGGTTTTTGCCCACAAGCTCTCCTGAGAAAATAATCTTGAGGCTCGGTGAAGTTTTCCAGGGCACATTAATGTTATTATCACTTAAGTGGTGATAATGAGACTGGAAGAGCACACCTCAATGGTCGGGTGCCTACTTTCTAACGGTTGAGGGGTCTGCAGAAGGAAAGAAAAAGTGGCAAGGTATAGTGGCATCGATGTAATTTAATGTTATTACCCTTTTAGCTTGAGGTTACTCAATGGACAATCAATATTTCTCCTTTGGTTACCCAGAAATCCTAAACTAAGCTAAATACTTAGTTTTAAGCATGATGCACTAATTTGGATCTTTGGCCAACTTCCAACTGAATAGCTTCCTTTCCATGTTGGAAGAAAACAAAGTACGCATGCGAGCGCATCATTACCAGAGGTAATGGTTGCCCTGCACACGCAGGAGCAGGAGGCTGTCACAAGGCTACAGGGGCTGACGTCCACTCGCATGTAACATCGGCAGGCTTGCTTATTTTTCTCTTATATCTGGCGCTCGAACTGTACGACGGTCAAAAGCATTCGCACAATGAAGAAAAAATTCACAGAAGGTCTGCACAGATGGGCTCCGGAACCCACTTGATTTACTGCCATCTCTCCGGCCACCCTGAGCGTTCAGGAGCTTCACTAATTTTGCCCGACTCGCCAAACCTTCACTTTCGAAGCGCTGGCCCACAGGCTGTGCGCGCAACCGCACCCGACACGAGGGGGAGTGAAAAAAACGTCTGCGACAGACGCGTCTGTCACCTGTTGCGGATGTATTCGGTTCAGGCGCCCCTCCGGCCGTCCCGGTTTGTTAACCGTCGCCCTCATCATCATCATCATCACGATTCACGGGCAGATAGCCCGTAGGTGTCCACCGCTGTTTGCCTTGGTTGCAAACTTCCTGTTTGTGCTCTTGACTAGTTTGTACACCTCCCCCGGTCTTGTATTCTCCAGCGTAGGGTTCAGTGTCGCGACATTGCTTTTCTAGATATTCCTGATGATCCTTTCTTGCCCCGATATCTCATTGCATAGCTTTTTGCACTCAGTCGCCATTTCATCCTATCCTGTTATCTTTAGCCTTATTTTTTTCTCTTTTCTTGTGCTCGTTCCAAGGTATTCTCGGCTGTCCGTTCTCTTTTGGGTTTCACACGGTGGACTTTCAAGATTCCGTGACGTGATTTGAAAAAAAGAGTGAGCCACGTGTGTGTGCCGGTGTCACGGTCCAGTCTTGCCAAAACTACTTAATTGGAAAACCAAAGCAACATTGCCTCCGACTGGCACGCTCATGCCCACTTTGCCGGCCAGTGCTGCATTCGCCTTTTTGCCACACAGGGACAGCTGTCATCGGGGTGGTTCCCCCTAGGCTAAAAAAACTGCGAGACATTTGTTACGATACGGCCGCAATATTGTTATTGTTGAGGGACCGATGCTCAGAAAACCCATACGGATAGCCTGTGTGATGGTGTTCCTACTTGACTGTACTGCGCGGCACCTTCGCAGGAGACATTTTCCTCGTTCGAGGCGGGATGCGTGCGGTGGAGTTCAAGGTGGTGGAGACAGACCCGAGCCCTTTCTGCATCGTAGCGCCGGACACTGTGATCCACTGTGAGGGCGAGCCCATCAATAGGGAGGTAAGTGGCCTAGGACGTCATTTGATGCAACATCACCGGCAATAACAAAGACAAAGATCTGATTAAGGCCGGCACGGTACGCATGGGCGTGGGTGACCAGCACCACTCCCAGCCGCCTTTGTCTCCCCAGTGGCGATGTTTACACACTGCACCAGGTACTCATTTAAGGCTGAGCCCCAGGACTGGTTCAGATAATCATCACTGGTGTTTTTCCCGTGAGCGGGAATTGAATGAGGGTCGCAGAGTTCGTAGCGCAGCGTGCTGTTTTGCTTGCACCGCTCCCCACCAACAACACCAACATTACCACCAACTGCATCGCCAACATCCATAACAACAACACTACCGTCAACAATACCAACAACACCACCACAACAACAACACCAACAGTAACAACATGATTTTTAAATACCGTACAGCCCTCTGCATCGCGACCAATAATTACAACAGCAACGCCAAAAATATCATAAACAGGCGAAGTGGGTGGTTTGAGGAGACGGCACGGGCCGCAATGCCACCAATGATATCACCAGGAACAATAACACCACCAACAGCACCACCATCAACAACAACAGCACTGCTGCAGCATCGCCACTTGAGTCAGGGTTTATAGACTCTGAGAACCTTGGAGCAGCTGGCTGAGTGCTTTGCATTGATGCTGAGGTATCCGATTGCTGGCTGTGTCGCTCTCTCTTACATGGGGGTTGGTGCTATTTATAGCAATACTGAGCCACACAGTTCAAGTTCTGAGGCCAGGCGTTTATCTTAAGTGATTTAGGTTTGATTGTTGAGACAACGCCAAGTGACTGATTTACTGGCTCCGTGCCTTGACATGGCCATCATGCCCCCTGATAAGAGACACCGAGCCTCGGGGCTTGAACCTGTGCCATCCGAGGTGCTGGTTCGGCGTCTGTGACACCCAGACCTCGGCCTCCTATAATAGATGCATGCAGCCCCAGGGCTCAGACCCAGGAACTTAAAGACGCTGACTTGTTGCCATGACTCTCGCGTCAGCACACTGCGATGCTGGTAAACATCCAAGTTAAGGGTCAGTCTCTGGGTGGACCTTGATTGCACCCGTGGTCATTTTGCATTCACTCTCCTGACATAATCTCCAGCCTCAGAGTTTGAACTTGGCGATTAGACATCGCACAACTCTCTGAGAGACGCACAGTCCCAGGGCTCGAACCCAGGTTTTAAAAGTTGCTATATCATTTGCCACAAAACAGACATTGATCGAATGAGTTACGCGGCACCTGCGGCTTGAACCAAGGACCCCTGAGGCACTGGCATAAGCATCATTATCCTAAGACACCCAGCTCCTGGACTGAAACCCATCACTTGTCTGGTGCTCACTCGGTGTCCTTGACGCAGACATCGTCCTCCTGAGCGGACGCACCCTGCGACCTTGGCTCAAACCCAGGCCCTTGAGGATGCTGGCTCGGTGCCCTTACATGGTCATCATCCCACCGCGATACAGTCGCCTCGCGTGTTAAGCTACGCGATTTTGAAATGGCGCGTGAGATTTAATTTACACTTATTTTCGTTATGCGCGCACTGTTATTGAAATAACGCTCTCCAGCGCCGTTGGCCATGCTGCACGGAACGCGCTGCGAGCTAATCCTTAGTCGGGGCAGCAAAGTTGAGTGGTGATGCCTAAGGTGCGGTACTGACAACCACAAGCGCTGGCAGTGTCAGTCAGCATCTCTCTCCCAAGCCACTCTTCAATCCTACCCTCCACCAGCCACAGTATGCTACACTCAAGCATCTCACTACGTGTTCAAACATCTTTTCGTTTAACTTTTTTAACTTTATTTTAATTAGGCGTTAATATATGCGTGGTAGTATTGTAAATAATACGTTAATGTAAGCGGTGAAATATGTAGATGGAAGAATTGGGTTTGATAGCGTGCCCTCTCTCTATAACCCCCAAACGTTTCCTTTATTTATTTTGAGAAAACTACATTTAATGTACGGGGTGTTTTCAAGAGTCACAATTCCTGCCCCCTGCCCCCCCCGCGTAAAACGAGAGGTGTAGCTGTAATGAGAATCGGCCAGCAAGCAGGACTTGACCCCCGGAACTGTGAATGCCCCTGCAGGAGGAGGAGGAGGCATTGAACGAGATCGGCTATGACGACATCGGAGGGTGCCGGCGGCAGCTGGCGCAGATCAAGGAGATGGTGGAGCTGCCCCTGAGGCACCCGGCACTCTTCAAGGCCATTGGCGTCAAGGTAATAATGTCCCGTTAACATCCCGTGCTGGGCAAAGGCCTCTCCACGTGTCTTCCACCACTCTTCACGATCTCTTTGCCGCCCTCATCCAGTGAGCTCCTCCAGATGTTCTATCGTCCTTCCATCCAGTGAGCTCCTCCAGATGTTCTGCTATCGTCCCTTCATCCAGTGAGCTCCTCCAGATGTTTTGCTATTGTCTCTTCATCCAGTATGCTCCTCCAGATTTTCTGCTATCGTCCCTTCATCCAGTGAGATCCTCCAGATGTTCTGCTATTGTTCCTTCATCCAATACACTCCTCCAGATGTTCTGCTATTGTTCCTTCATCCAATACACTCCTCCAGATGTTCTGCTATTGTCCCTTCATCCAGTGAGCTCCTCCAGATGTTCTGCTATTGTTTCTTCATCCAATACACTCCTCCAGATGTTCTGCTATTGTTCCTTCATCCAATGCACTCCTCCAGATGTTCTGCTATTGTCCCTTCATCCAATACACTCCTCCAGATGTTCTGCTATTGTCCCTTCATCCAGTGAGCTCCTCCAGATGTTCTGCTATCGTCCCTTCATCCAGTGAGCTCCTCCAGATGTTTTGCTATTGTCTCTTCATCCAGTATGCTCCTCCAGATTTTCTGCTATCGTCCCTTCATCCAGTGAGCTCCTCCAGATGTTCTGCTATTGTTCCTTCATCCAATACACTCCTCCAGATGTTCTGCTATTGTCCCTTCATCCAATACACTCCTCCAGATGTTCTGCTATTGTCCCTTCATCCAGTGAGCTCCTCCAGATGTTCTGCTATTGTTTCTTCATCCAATACACTCCTCCAGATGTTCTGCTATTGTCCCTTCATCCAGTGAGCTCCTCCAGATGTGCTGCTATCATCTCACAATCTTATTTTATGTCTACCGCTGTCTCTCCCCTCCATTGGCTTGCTATATTTCCTACCCAAATGCCAATTTATTGTATTTACCTCCTAAAGTATATCTGTTGTACTTATTTTAAAATCTCGAATCCTAATTTTTACTGCGGTCTCTATCTGTCTGACCCAGCCACGGCTAACATCGGTGGCATTTAACTGAACTGGTCCTGGGGCCTCCCCGCTAGAGTTCCTTGAATGAGAACGTGGTGCAGTGTGTTAGTCCTCAGCAATGGGGAGACAAAAAGGTGGCCAGCCACAGGTGACTCTGGCTACACCGTCCCCCCTCGTGCGTTCTCAATAGGTGAGCGCTTACAGAATTTTCCTCGACCAATCTGTGAGAGTATACACCGCCGGGATCTTTGCCTTTGTTATTCACAGCCGCCCCGCGGTATTCTGCTGTACGGGCCTCCTGGCACCGGCAAAACCCTCATCGCCCGTGCCGTCGCCAACGAGACTGGGGCCTTTTTCTTCCTGATTAACGGTTAGTTGCCGTGACAAGCCCAGACGGGTGACAAATTAGAGCTGGGCTCTTCGATTATTTTAACCCGTTTCCGAGACGTCCTGCACTTTGCGGGGTGCGTGTCCCGTATACCGCTGGATCTCGGAATGGGCAAGCGGTTCAATGTTCATTTGATTTAGAAGAGGCGTAGCGCTGTTGGTTTTTAAAGACATTGAGCTCACGGCAGAGAACTGTAGCGACGTGACCGCAAGCTCGGTGATAACTGGCGCCAAACTGTGCCACACGGCCTCCCGCGTGGCATTGTGGGAGCCTCGGTACGTATTCCGACCTGGCATAGCGATGACGTCGGCATTCAATGAGCTGGGATCACGCTGGGCCTGGTTCGGACGGGGGTTTCCTGTCTTTGAGAGGCAGCATTTTGGGGTGGCCACCATCATTAAAGGAGCCTTGGTAATTCACCAGAGAAAAATGATTTTTAATCTCCAGGTTGATTCATGGACTTGATTGACTTAACGTGCCACCTCTAGGCATGGTTGGTTAAGTTTGGTTAGTGAGATGGGAGGCCACATGGTTCATAGGGCTGGCACTGACCAACAACGATGAGATCCAACCCAAAAAAAAAAAAACTTTAACCGTGAATAATATTGGTCACAAAAGCCCACGTGTTAAGATGAGATCCTATGTTCGAATCTGGCCCTTCGCCATCCAGGTTATCACGTGTAGCAAGTTGTTGCTATCAGCTTGGTCGCCAATGACTGCACGGAAAAGGTCACGTTCAAATGAGCTTTGTCGCTTAATTTGACTTTTTTCCGGCTCTCTGAATTAAACCTTTTTTTTATTTTCTTTGCATTCAATGAACACACTCTTCACAAGGTATATAAACAGTGTGCCCATCGTGTTGGTTTAAAAGGATGACTTAATGTCACGACTCGATGCCTAGAGCTCACATTTTGGAGGGGAGGTGGGTGAGGGAAAATTGCCAGCACGAACTTTCGGCGAGGCTGCATATTGTAATGTTTGTGGAAAGCAGCACGGGGTATCTCGGGGGGGGGTGGGGGGGTCGATGCGTTACTGACGACGTCGATTTTGCGGTCATCCAACTCAGGTCCCGAAATCATGAGCAAGCTGGCGGGTGAGTCGGAGAGTAACCTGCGCAAGGCCTTCGAGGAGGCCGAGAAGAACGCTCCGGCCATCATCTTCATTGACGAGCTCGACGCCATCGCGCCCAAGCGAGAGAAGGTTGGGCGCTGCGCTCGAAATGTACCGCTTCGTTACAAGCTAATGCTGCCGCCAATCGCAATCGGCGCGGTGGCTAGGAGATGTTAACTACCTCGCCTGGTATGCAGGAGGTCGTGGGTTCGATGCCGACCCTGACAATGCCTGTATTTTTGGAGCTCTACGTGTTTCTCTCTCCTCGTGGTTGCGTGGGATTTTCTCCCGGGTCTTCCGGCTTTTTTCCCCCACGTTTAGAAACATTTGTTCGGAGTATTTGGCTGCTCGAAATTTCCACGTGATGAGCTACTCCACTGGGCTATCATTTGTGGCCAGGTCGCTTCTGTAAAATAATTATATAGCTCAATGGGCGTCCCCTGGTAAAATACAAATTGTTTAGCTTGGGGCACGGTGATGGTTAAGTGCCTATGATCAAATCGCCTGTGATCGTCACGGTCTCATCCTTATCCCCAAACCTACGCACGGTTGAACCTGGACCGTGCACGGATGGGCGATCACCAGCATGCATGGAACAGGTTTTATCGGCTGTGGTCAGCCGAGTGCAGTGCAGCAAAACCGACGGTTGTACTGTACTTACATGATTCCCCCACGACGTGCACCACCTTCGCCAACCTGCACTGACCAGCGTGGTGAGGCAAAGTTGAATAACCCCCATGACCTGTACGATACGTCGAGGCCCTCATTCGGCAGTGGACTGACAAATAGGACCGTACAAGTTGCGTGTACTTGTAAAACCGCCCTCGTGTACCCGCTGCGTTGCCTTGTAACCTCGTGCCCCTCCCCCCCCATCCCCATCCCCACTGTGTTCCATCTCCGGGTCTCCGTGCTTCCTCCCCCACTCCACCCCCCCCCCCCCTCCATGGCCCCCCTACTCCACCCCCCCCCCCCATGGCCCCCCTACTCCACCCCACCCCCCATGACCCCCCTACTCCACCCCCCCCATGGCCCCCCTACTCCACCCCCCCCTCCATGACCCCCCTACTCCACCCCCCCCCCATGACCCCCCTACTCCATCCCCCCCCCCATGGCCCCCCTACTCCACCCCCCCATGGCCCCCTGACTCCACCACCCCCCCCCCATGGCCCCCCTACTCCACCCCCCCCATGGCCCCCCTAATCCACCCCCCTACCCATGACCCCCCTACTCCACCCCCCCCCATGGCCCCCCTACTCTACCCCACCCCCCATGGCCCCCCTACTCTACCCCACCCCCCATGACCCCCCTACTCCACCCCCCCCCATGGCCCCCCTACTCCACCCCCCCATGGCCCCCTGACTCCACCACCCCCCCCATGGCCCCCCTACTCCACCCCCCCATGGCCCCCCTACTCCACCCCCCCCCCATGGCCCCCCTACTCTACCCCACCCCCCATGGCCCCCCTACTCTACCCACCCCCCATGGCCCCCCTACTCCACCCCCCCCCATGACCCCCTACTCCACCCCCCCCATGGCCCCCCTACTCCACCCCCCTCCATGACCCCCCTACTCCACCCCCCCCATGGCCCCCCTACTCCACCCCCCCCATGACCCCCCTACTCCACCCCCCCCCCCATGGCCCCCCTACTCCACCCCCCTCCATGACCCCCCTACTCCACCCCCCCCATGGCCCCCCTACTCCACCCCCCCCCCCATTGTCCCCCTACTCCACCCCCCCCCTCCATGACCTCCCTACTCCACCCCCCCCCCCACCATGGCCCCCCTACTCCACCCCCCCCCCGTCCTCCCGCGTGCGTTGCTGCAGACTCACGGGGAGGTTGAGCGGCGCATCGTGTCTCAGCTGCTCACGCTCATGGACGGCCTCAAGCAGCGCACCCACGTGGTCGTCATGGCAGCGACGAACCGGCCCAACAGCATCGACCCCGCGCTGCGCCGCTTCGGTAGGAACGCCCCCCCCCCCCCTCCCCCCCCTCTGCCTTCAAGGCCTCTCCGGCAGTCCTGCGGCGATCCCGCAGACGCGCTCGGACGTCGACCCCCCGTTTAGTCGATCGTCGACATCCACGTGTCCGTCACGTGTCCGTCACGTGTCCTGCGCTGCGCACACGCGTGCGTGCGTGCGTGTGTGTGTGTGTGTGCCTCGTGTCTCCTAGTCTCCACGCGGTCGTGTCCCCCCCGCACCCACGTCCTCTCACCTGCCCCCCCCCCCCCCCCCCCCCCCCCCCCCACCCCACCCCGTGTGCCACCGCTGTGACCAGGCCGCTTTGACCGAGAGGTCGACATCGGCATCCCGGACTCGACGGGGCGACTGGAGATCTTGCAGATCCACACCAAGAACATGAAGCTGTCGGTAGACGTGGACCTCGAGCAGGTGAGCGCTGGGGTGTGCAGAGGCGCAAGCTTTCTGTGGTGGTCACTCGACCGGCGATTCTATTTTACTCGTCACAATTCGGGGGGTCGCGGTCCGATTCCAGAATCGATACTTTTTTAGGCCTTGTGTTTTATCCGCCTCGTCGGTGCACTTTTGTTCCCGCCGTGAGCTTGAATTGAACAGTTTCGCCTTGTGCAAGCACGATTTGTCGTGGTTTAACAATGCATTGATTTCATTGTTTTGCATTGATTAAGCTCATGATACATGAACCATATGTATGTATGTAGGAATCAGTGTTTTTCAGTTAATGTGTATGTTCTAGTTAATGGGTTCATGTGACCCCTGCATCCGCTGGAGACTGCTACATTCTCGATTCTTAAACAGAGAATTTATTGTCGAATCAAACCGCGACCTTTAACAGTGACAATTCACTGAATTGGCGGGGGTGGGGTGGTGAATTGCTACACCTCTAATTGATTTGCATAATGGGGCACCCGACACCTGATTTGATCACCCGGTCGCCACCGATTTATCTTCCCTCAAATTTCGGCCAAAGACTGTTGACTCACTACAGTTTGTTTGTATGTATGTTGAACTTCTTTCGCACTGCACGTAGCCAACCGTGCCAATCTTGGAGATGCAGGGACGTGTGGATATGGGGTTTATTTAGGGGGTGCCGACACCCAGAGTTTGAACCCAGGACCTCGTTGTGTATCCGACCCGGGTGCTCTGACAGTTTTATTGCCACCCTGAGCCACGCTGCACCTGCGATTTAGCACGATTGGCTATGCAAGGTGCGAAAGATGTTCAACATACTAACACCCGGTCGGTCACCTCTGTTTAACACATCAGCCTTCGCAACCAATATTATCTATAATGAAGGTTTCTTGGGCTGGTTTGCGTGAATATAAATGTGTCGGTAAACCCACCGCCACCCGACACAGCCAATTAGTAAGGTTTGTCACGTAAACAAAACGTGCCAATTACGTTACTAGTGCAGCACACCGGTGTGTTGGAGAGTAAACCTGCGACACTTACAATTCGAGTACGATGTTATGCCGGCAATTCCAATCAGCCTCATCGAATTGGCAATGTTGTGGGTTTTACACTCCGTCACACCGGTATGCTGAACTTGTAACAAATTGGGCAGGTTTTGTTTTACGTAACAAACCTGAGTAATTGGCTGTGCCGGGCGGTGGCGGGTTTAACGGCACAATTAATGTTTGCGCGAACTAACCCGACGTAAAAAAAAAAAAAAACCCCTCTCGTTACGGTCAACCTCTGGTTTCCCCCGCCCCCTTTGATGTGGACGACGGGCAGATCGCGAACCAGACGCACGGCCACGTGGGCGCCGACCTGGCGGCGCTGTGCTCAGAGGCCGCGCTGCAGGCGATCCGCAAGAAGATGGACGTCATCGACCTGGACGACGAAACCATCGACGCCGAGATCATGAACTCCCTCGCCGTCACCATGGACGACTTCCGGGTGAGTGTGTGCGTGGTGGCGGGATGTTAACTGCCTCGCCTGGCCTACAGGAGGTCGTGGGTTCGATCCCGACCCTGACGATGCCTGCTGTATATTTAAGAGTTTGCGTGTTCTCCCCGTGGTCGCGTGGATTTTTTCCCCGGGTCCTCTGGTTTTTCCCTCCACATTGAGAAACATTCGCTTTAGAGTATTTGGCTGCTGTAAATTTCCACGTAAGCCACTTGATCCCAGCTATCATTTTTGACCAGGTCACTTATTAAAAAGAGCTACATAGCTCAAGGGGGCCTAACCTGGTAAATAAGAATTGTTCGTGATTTATAGTATGCGTTTGTGTGTTAGTGGGTGGGGAATGATAGAGTAGTAGTTAGGGTGTTGCATTACAAACCTGGTGACCCAGAGTTCGATTCCTGCTCACGGCCAACACCAGTGACAATTATCTGAACTGGTCCTGGGCCTCCCCTAGGTCGACTCAGCCTCAAATACGTACCTCGTGCGATGTGTAAACATCGCCACTAGGGAGACAAAGGCGGTCGGGCGTGGTGCTGGCCACCCACCCCCTCGTGTACCGTGCCAGCTTTCATAGGTATTACTCGCTCGCAGCACTTGCCCCAACAGTATAATAAGGCTACACGGGGTGTCTTTGTCTTTGTATGTGTCAGTGGGCCCTGGCCCAGAGCAACCCATCAGCACTGCGCGAGATGGTGGTGGAGGTGCCCAACGTGACGTGGGAGGACATCGGTGGCTTGGAGAGCGTCAAGAGGGAGCTGCAGGAGCTGGTGCAGGTGCGTGTGAAGTGGGTTGAAAAACTAGAAGGGAACTTCTCTGAGGCAACACAGTTTTATTTAAAAGTTAAACTTAACAGAGAGGGGTAACGGCCCCTCGCACCCGATACACTGTGGAGGTTACTCCCCAGTCTAATACGCCTCTCACTGGCTAATCTACGAGTCCTCCGTGAGTGAAGCTTGAAATTTCACTGGTATATAAGCTTACAGCCGACCCTTGGCAGGGGTGCGGCTCTGCCCTTGGGGCTCTTCAGTCTCCAGGAGGCTTCTTGTCTTCAGCTGGACGACGACTGCTGGGAGCGTTCAGAGGTCCGGCTTTTATAGAGAGCCGTGGCTCGCTCCGCCCCGGCCACACCTTCCTTCTCGAACCTTCGAGAAGGATCTGGGGGTGATGTCATCCCCCAGCCCCCCTCCTGGGGTCTGGGATCTGCCCCTTTTACATACCGTTCCATACGGTAACAGTTGGGCCCGATGGCCCATAGTCTCCCAGCACTGGGGCTCAGCCCCTCTGTTGCCCCCTATTGGCCTGTGGCCGGTATTGCCGGCAACTGCATGGGAACGGCGCATCTTGGCCCAATAACACCGTTACACGTGCATCTTGCGAAGTTGTGTATGTGTGTTCTCCTGCGGGTGTGTCTTGTGTGTGTAAATGCGTGGGGAATGATGGCGTAGCAGCATCGGTGACCATTATCTGAACCGGTCCTGGGCCTCGCCGAGGTCGACTCGGCCTCAAATGAGTACCTGGTGCAGTCTTTAAACATCGCCACTGGGGAGACAAAGGTGGCCGGGCGTGGTGCTGGTCACCCACCCCCTTGTGTGCCGCGCCGGCCTTCATAGGTGTTCGCTAACAGCACTTGCCCCAACAGTCTGTTAACGCTATACGGGGGATTTTTGTCTTTTTGAAGGTAGCTGTCATTCCACGTGGTATCTGTCAATTATGTTGATGTTTCATTGTCTAGGGTTTGATTTAAATGATTACAGTAACCTATTTAAACCAGATTCGTTTAATATCGTTGCATGCACTGGTAAACCACACACGGGAACATGACTTTAATACAAGCAAGCCTTTTATTTATTTAAAGCCAGAATATCAGCCGTTAATATGCAATTGGTGTTCAGTACAACAGATAATACCGTTACAAAGGTATTGGTATTCATCAAAAAACAATCCACATAAAATAATCCAATATCAATAAGTAATATTTAAAATACTCTTTTTTAAAACATGCTTTAATGAAATGTACCATACGAGTAATGGTAGAACTCCACGACTCCAGGAAGTGGCCTCAAAGCTTGTCATAACTTACAGTGAGGGAAAAAAGTATTTGATTCCCTGCTGATTTTGTACGTTTGCCACTCACAAAGAAATGCTCAGTCTATAATTTTAATGGTAGGTTTATTTGAACAGTGAGAGACAGAATAACAAGAAAATCCATAAAAACGCATGTTATAAATTGATTTGCATTTTAATGAGGGAAATAAGTATTTGTCCACAGAAGCAATCAATCAATCAGATTCCAAACTCTCCACCATGGCCAAGACCAAATAGCTCTCCAAGGATGTCAGGGACAATATTGTAGACCTACACAAGGCTGGAATGGGCTACAAGACCATTGCCAAACAGCTTGGTGAGAAGGTGACAACAGTTGGTGCGATTATTCGCAAATGGAAGAAACACAAAACAACTGTCAATCTCCCTCAGCCTGGGGCTCCATGCAAGATCTCACCTCGTGGAGTTGCAATGATCATGAGAACGGTGAGGAATCAGCCCAGAACTACACGGGATGATCTTGTCAATGATTTCAAGGCAGCTGGGACCATAGTCACCAAGAAAACAATTGGTAACACACTATACCGTGAAGGACTGAAATCCTGCAGTGCTCGCAAGGTCCCCCTGCTCAAGAAAGCACATATACATGCCCGTCTGGCGTTTGCCATTGAACAGCTGAATGATTCAGAGGACAACTGGGTGAAAGTGTTATGGTCAGAATGAGACCAAAATGGAGCTCTTTGGCATCAACTCAACTCGCCGTGTATGGAGGAGGAGGAATGCTGCCTATGACCCCAAGAACACCATCCCCACCATCAAACATGGAGGTGGAAACATTATGCTTTGGGGTGTTTTTCTAAGGGGATAGGACAACTTCACCGCATCAAAGGGACGATGGACGGGGCCAAGTACCGTCAAATCTTGGGTGAGAACCTCCTTCCCTCAGCCAGGGCATTGAAAATGGGTCGTGGATGGGTATTCCAGCACAACAATGACCCAAACACACGGCCAAGGCAACAAATGAGTGAGTCAAGAAGAAGCACATTAAGGTCCTGGAGTGGCCTAGCCAGTCTCCAGACCTTAATCCCATAGAAAATCTGTGGAGGGAGCTGAAGGTTCGAGTTGCCAAACGTCAGCCTCGAAACCTTAATGACTTGGAGAAGATCTGCAAAGAGGAGTGGGACAAAATCCTCCTGAGACGTGTGCAAGCCTGGTGGCCAACTACAAGAAATGTCTGACCTCTGTGATTGCCAACAAAGGTTTTGCCACCAAGTATTAAGTCATGTTTTGCAGAGGGGTCAAATACTTATTTCCCTCATTAAAATGCAAATCAATTTATAACATTTTTGCCATGCGTTTTTCAGGATTTTGTTGTTATTATTCTGTCTCTCACTGTTCAAATAAACCTACCATTAAAATAATAGACTGATCATTTCTTTGTCAGTGGGCAAACGTACAAAATCAGCAGGGGATCAAATACTTTTTTCCCTCACTGTAAGGGACCGTGGTGATTTACAGTCAACGTCAGTTGAGCGGGAACAATTAGCCCCAAGCCGAAACATAACATATAAAAATATTTTTAAAAATATATTTTACATTTTTAATAATAGAATATAGTATTGTCATCAGTATGACATAAGTATACCAAGTTTGCAGTCGATACCACATTGGGAAGTGGGTTAAAATTGAGTTGCAAGATTTGAGGATACGACAACAAACAGAGTGAGTTAAATAAAAGCGTGTAAATAATTAAATGTACATGCACGACTAAAAATGCAACAAGGACTTGATACCACAGACCCGAAATAGTTGTGATACTTAGCGATGAATCGATTTCAAGCACAGTCTGGTATCCTGAGCTGCAGTTTAGAGTATTTGGCTGCCATACATTCCCACGTGATAAGACACTTCGTCGTGCTATCATTCGTGGCCACGTTTATTCTGAAAGAGCTATGCAGCTCAGTGGGCCTTGACCTGGTACAAAATAAAAAAATGGTTGAGCTTTGTGCAGTCACTGAGCAGGCGTCTTCTCTTGCCTGTAGGAGGTCGTTGCACACAACGACCTCCCTGGGGTGCAGCACGATGCCGCGGTGGAAACAAAAAAAAACGGCCACGCGCGACCAGTGGCAGATGGCACCTTGATCAAATAACAGAAGTGAAATTTTTAACCGGTCCCGGGCCCTCCCCTTGGGTGACTCGGCGTTAGACGAGTACCTGGTGCAGTGTGGAATCAGACCGGCACTGGTGAGACGAAGGTCGGCAGGCGGTGGTATTGGTGGCCACCCACCCTCCTGGTGCGCCATGTTGACCTTCAAAGGCGCTCTCTTGACAACACTTGCCCCAACAGACTGTCGAAGGCGATATCGGGCATATTTGTCTGGTCTTTGTAACTGTACGCACGGGCAGCGGTAGTGCAGTGGGTTAGCGAGCTTCGGCTCTGAACTCGGTGGGCCGAATTCGAATCCCGCTCTTTGTCATCATCAATAACAAATATCTGAACCAGCCTCCCCGAGGTCGACTTTACGGGGGATCTTTATTTTGTAAATGCGTGTGACTGCGTGCACGCGCGTTTCTGTTTACGGGTGACAGTTTATTTGAATCGTCGGATGGGGCGAATTATTACAGCTCCCCTTACCCTCTGCACTCAGGACTTTGCCTCTCACGCCCTCCGCTGTCATTCGCAGCCACCGTCCCTTCTTGGCATCCTCACCACGTGCCTCTCAACTCTCACCCCTCAACTTCCCCCCCCCCCCCACCTTTCCCCACCAGTACCCCGTGGAGCACCCGGAGAAGTTCCTCAAGTTCGGGATGACGCCCTCCAAGGGCGTGCTGTTCTACGGCCCGCCGGGCTGCGGCAAGACGCTGCTGGCCAAGGCCATCGCCAACGAGTGCCAGGCCAACTTCATCTCCATCAAGGGGCCCGAGCTGCTCACCATGTGGTTCGGCGAGTCGGAGGCCAACGTGCGCGACGTCTTCGACAAGGTGGGCCCCCCCTCCCCCCCTCTAAGCCCAGGGGTGGTCGCAACCAAAATAACAAGAAGAGGTGTTTTTTTGTTTCAAATCCGGTGAAAAAAAGTTTCTATTTCAAGAGCCGCCAATGCACGCGATGGATAGGAGACGGTGGTCCTGAATAAATAACGTCACGACGCAGTGCTTGACCCCTCTCCCGTTCTGAGACGTCTGAATGTTGCAGGGTGGCTGTCCCATTCGCTCTTGAATCTCGGAACGCGCAAGCGGTTCAGCATTAATTTTATTTAGAGGAGGCGGAGCACCGCTGTTTTTAGAAACGTTCTCTTCGCAGAGAACCGTAGCGACACGACCGCGCACTCTATGATGGCTGGCGCCAAAATGTGCCGCACGCCCTCCCGCTACGGCCTTTTACTTTCGATTCTTTGCTGATGACGTACGTGTACATCAACGGAACGGGAAATGGTTAAAGAGCCGCATGTCGCCCAGGAGCCGCAGGTTGCCGACCCCTGTCCTCGGGTCATCGCGTAACTACGCGCGTCCCGACTCGCTGGGGACTGGGGTGAGGGCGCACATGTGAATTAGGTCAGATACGTGAACCTCTGTAGGGTACTGGACAAATGTAATGTGCATAATAAAGTTTTTTGGGTTAGATCGCGTAAGTATAAATGTGTCGCGATCGAACCCAAAAACCTTTATTGCGAATAGTATTGGTCGTGAAAAAACCTACGTATTAAAATGTAATGTGCAAACCGTTTTCAAATGCGTGACAGTGCTTTATTGTGTTTAGGATATGCACATGCGATTGAGAAAACATTAATGCCTGTGAAAAGGACAGGTTGTGTGAACATCTATAGAACATGACCATTACACCATGCTGCACAATTGCTGTACTGGGCATTGGTGGTTAATTGGTCAGGGCGGACATGTGATGGATGGATAATGGCCTGTTGTATTGTGACTAATAACTCGGAGCGCTTTGACAATCCATTGCGTGACGAAGGCCTGCCTACCCCATGCCTTGCGATGGGAGCTGTTTGCGTCGTACGTCACCGCGCTCAACAGCAGCGCTTGCTCCAACACTGCTACGTGGGTAGATCTTTGCGCGAGCGTGGCCGCGGACCCGTCGACCCGAGTTTGAGTCCCGTGCGTGTGCGTACGTACGCGTGCGTGCGCGAGCAGGCGCGTCAGGCGTCGCCCACGGTCCTCTTCCTCGACGAGCTCGACTCGATCGCGAAGGCGCGCGGAGGCGGCGTCGGGGACGGTGGCGGAGCGGCCGACCGCGTCATCAACCAGATCCTCACCGAGATGGACGGCATGGGCGTCAACAAGAACGTCTTCATCATCGGGGCCACCAACCGGTGAGAAGCGCCAACCGGGTCTGTCGGTCGCTCGTGCCGTGGGGGTTGGGGGTTGTCCCCCCTCAAGAGACCGAGCAGCATTGGCTCTATTGCCGAGAGACACGGAGGTTGATCCGTCAGCCTATCACTGTCAAGAGACCGTGTCTCTTTCCCACACCTCCGATTAGCACGGTTGGCTGCCTACAGTGCGAAAGAAGTTTGCACAATCTTGATTTGAAGCTTTCGTGACTGCAGGAATCCATACTCTTTGGTTCTTTCGGTAAAGTCACGTAGGGGTAAAATAAATTAAATCACGACGTTTCGGGCACAACACAGGCGTCCCGTCATCAGGTGAGACGCTTGTTGTGCGCCCGAAACGTCGTGATTTATTTTATTTTATACCTACGTGACTTTACCGAAAGAACCAAAGAGTATAAAGTTTGTACATATTATATACGTGTCAGAGGTTGGTCTCTCAGTTTATCGTTGTCCAGAGACACAGAGACCAGCCCGCCAGTCCATTATTGGGTATAGACACCCGTGAGTCTGTCGAAACCCCGTGTCAACCTATGATCAGAGGGAGGTTCGCTCATTCTCCTCTGCTGCTCCCATAGTCTGGAACTTCCTTTACCCCATCCATCAGTGCTGTCCGTGCCCCTTTTCAAGTATAGGCTCATGACCATCCTTTTTTCTTCTGCCCATGACTGGCCATCCCTATCTGCAAAATTTATCTGCCCATTGTTTCTTTGCAGCATCTTGAGATGTGATCGCATTCATGTGCCTTGATGAATTCAACCTATTATACACGATGGAGGCACCGCGGCGGACAGATGTTAACTCCCTCGGCTGGTATGAAGGAGGCGGTGCGTTTGATCCCGACTCCATGTATATTTGGAGTTTACACGTTCTCCCCTGGGTCGTGTAGATTTTTATCCGGGTTCCTCCGGTTTTTCCTTCCACACTTGGAAACGTACGTTTTTAGAGAATTTGGCTGCAATAATTTTCCACATGATGAGCTGTAATTTGTGGCCAGGTCGCTTCTGAAAAAAGAACTATATTGCTCAGTGGACCCTTCCTGGTAAAATAAAATTAGGTGAGTTTAGTCTACATTTAAGAACCTGTAATCTGCCCCTCTATTATCGAGAGACTGCCTTTTGGAGACTACAGTCTCTTATCCATTGTTGCCTTGAGACCCAGTCAGAGACTCTTCTGTCTATAAGTGTCTATAGACCCAAAAAGAGAGCAGTCTGTCCATATATTTTTGTCTCTACTGGGTTGAGAGCATCGGGTCGCAATACTGGAAAACCTAGTTGAACCACAGATGTCCTGGGCCCAAATTTGAACCCAGCATCTCAGCCGTACTGGCTTAAGAAGCAGGAATTTTTTAAAGTCTCATAAGCCACCGGGCCATCTCCTGATAATGACCCTCTAACTTTCTTCTTAACAGTCTACTGAAATTTTGATTTAAAGCTTTCGTGACTGCAGGGATTCATATTCTTAGTTCTTTCGGTAAAGTCACTTAGAAGGGAAACAATACAATAATAAAAATATAAAACAATAAAATTCTCACGACGTTTCGACTGCAACACAAGCAATCATCATCAGGTGTGAAAACCATAGCAAGAAATTTTTAAAAAAAGTCTACTGAAAAGTGTAAAAGTGACGGCTCCATATCTTGGTGAGAGGTAAAGGATTCCATCCGTGCATTGAGGTTGGTGGGAGACACGTAGAGGCTTTGGTATATTAGATGTTGTTTTCCCTGTCATATCATTATTATTTTAGAGGGGTATCTATAAATAGATCACCCTGTAGATGCTTGCTTTGTGCCGGGATGGGTCTTCTAGACTTGATCCCTGCAACAGCCTAAAGCAGTGTTGCCCAGGTGTCACTCTTGCAAATGAGACTCATTCTGGTCTCCTGAGTTCTCACCTGCTTTAAACAGAATACATTTGAACTTAAAACCTTTTTGGACCTTGCTGCCCACTATCAGCCCTCAGCAAAATGTCACAGACCACCATGCAGCAACAATGTATACCTCTAATTACGTAAAATTATAAATGCTGTGTTCCTTGTAAATCTTGCGTGGTATCTATGAACTATGTTTTATTTTACCAGGTAAGGCCCACTGAGGTATAGAGCTTTTTTCAGAAGCGACCTGGCTATCAATAATGATAGCTAAACGAATTGGCTTATGTGGAAATTTATAGCAGCCAAATACCCTAAACGCACGTTCCTAAATGTGGAGGGAAAACCAAAGGGCCCGGAGAAAAATCCACGCGACCACGGGGAGATCAAGCAAAGTCCAAATATACAGCAGGCGTCAGGGTCAGGATGGAACCCACGACCTCCTGCATACCAGGCGAGGCAGTTAACATCTCGCCACGTTCCGTGCACTGCTTTTCACGATCCTTGCGGGATAGGAAGTGGTCCATGGCGCAGAGGTTTGGGGGGACCGGTGGCCTGGAGAACTCCCCATGGCTTCAGGCAGGGTTAATGTTGACCGAGCAGCGCTGTGGCTGTGTTCACGTTCGCAGGCCCGACATCATCGACCCCGCCATCCTGCGCCCGGGACGCTTGGATCAGCTGATCTACATCCCCTTGCCAGACGAAAAGTCTCGCACCGCCATCCTCAAGGCCAACCTGCGCAAGTCGCCCATCGCAAAGGTAACCCGTCAGGAATGCAGTCATTCATCCACGTCAAGGAATATGAACCATCATCACGTGAACTCCGGTCATCCTCGCAGCAGCGGCTTTTGGCTAGCCATCGAACGAAGACGGTCACCTCATCGCGCACTCTCAAATGCGCTTCTGTGGCCATTTGGAATGCTCTTCCTTCCGATATTAGGAATCCACTGGAATCCTTTCAACGTTTTAACCTAGATTGAAAACTCTTTTACTTAAAAACTGCTCTTTTTGTTTAGTTTGTCAGTCCCCCGCACCTCCGATTAACGTGGTTGCGCTACGTACGGTGCGAAAGAAGTTCAACATACATACATACATGTCCCCTCCACCCACGCCCCTTGATTCCCCCTTCCTATTTGGTGGATTTTCATGATCTGGTAGTCGCCATACAATTGTGGAGCAAATTGTTTCGTCTCGTTCGTTACTACCTCGTTTGTATTGTTTACGTGCCTTGCCTATAATTAGAGTAAGCCGTAAGTATACGATTTGAGGCATGATAACCAAATGTGTTCGTGCCAGCGTGTGTGTTCGTAACTGTGTTCGTACCTGTGTGTATCTCCCATGTTGCAACAGTAGGGGGCACAGTTAGTGCATCTGCCAGTCAGTAAACCTATGGCACCTGGGTCTGTCCCGTAACCTCCTGTCAGCGAGCCTTCGCCACTTCCACGTGGCCTCAAATTGCATCTGACCTGGCACAGGCGCTGGAATATAAAAGCTGACTGGAATAAAAGCGGACACTCGCCAATCAAAGCAAGAGGAAAAAAGGGGGCATGCTACTTGACCTTGACATGACCTTCTCGATCCACAAATTAATCGTTGCCATTGATTAAACGTTCGCGGATCTGCTCAATGATTTGCCCGTAGAATTTAACTGAAGACAAGTTAATTACAGTCTCCCACAACGCCACATCACGTCGCTACACCGCCCTTGCTCTTGAGCAGCTTTTTTGGTTTATTTGATGTTCATTTTATTCTCGTGTATGTTTAAAAGGTAAACTTCACGGACAGTAACCGCATTATTGTGGCCGTTTAGATATTGTTGCGTATGTTTTAAAAAGGTAAGGAATCGATGTTTTTGGGGGCGGAATCGATGTTTTGGGGGGCAGAATCGATGTTTTGGATCGTGTGACACCATGACACTATGGATGGGCAAAGACGCCCACTCTCCAAGTGTCCACTTTTATTTCACGTCAGCTTTTATCGTATTACAGCGCCGTGGTGAAGTCACCACAGCTTAGTGGCGAATGGCAGCTGCTGTTGTTGTATCCCCTTGTGCTTGCACCTACCCAGGTGTAGCGTAGCGGTTAACGCGCTTGCGCTAAGAAACCCGGTAATACGGGTTCGATTGTCCTCGCGGCCAACGGCAGTGACGATTATCTAAACCGGTCATGGGCTTCCCCGAGGTCGACTCGGTCTCAAATGAGTAACTGGTGCGGTGTGTAAACATCGCCACTTGGGAGACAAAGGCGGCCGGGCGTGGTGCTGGGCACCCACCCCCTTGTGTGCTATGCCGGCCTTCAAGGTGCTACTCGCTAACAGCACTTGCCCCAACAGCCTGTTAAGGCTATATGGGGGTTCTTTGTCTTTGTTCGTACCTAGCCGCTGTGTGTATGTTCATACGTATGAACATGCGTTTCCATGTTCCTTTCTCCGTGTTCTGATACCTGTGTATATCCCACGCGCTCATGTGCACTCACACCAACCTGTGTGTGTGTTCCTACCCGCGCGTGTGTGTGTGTGTGTTCGTACCTACCCGCGTGCATTTGTGCTCGTGTAAAGGGGGGCGCCACGGTGGCGAGATGTTAACTACCTCGCCTGGTATGCAAAGGGTCGTGGTTTCGAGCCCGACCCTGACACCTGTATATCTGGAGTGTCTCTCTCCCTGTGGTCGCGTGGATTTTTCTCCAGGCCCTCCGGTTTATCCCTCCACATTTCAGAATCGACGTGCGTCCACAGAGTATTTGGGTGCCGTTATAAATTTACAGGCGATAAGCCACTGCATTGATCGATCATTCGCGATAGCCAGGTCGCTTCTAAAAAGGAGCTAAATAGCTCGGTGAGCCTTACCTGGAAAAATAAAAATAGTTTTAAGTAGTTTATAGTATTTCCGCGACCTCATGTGTAACCCCCCACTTCCCCAACTTGCTCTCGCACGCGCTCACGCGCCCGACGCAGGATGTGGACATCGGCTACCTCTCCAAGACTACCAACGGCTTCTCGGGCGCCGACCTCATGGAGATCTGCCAGCGCGCGTGCAAGCTCGCCATTCGCGAGAGCATCGAGGCCGAGATGCGGCGCGAGCGTGAGCGGCAGGGCAACCCGGACGCCGCCATGGTGAGAGGGGCGGGGGGAGACGTCCGCGCGTGGGGTCGTAACGCACCCATCGACACGGATCGAAGCACGGATCGACGCACCCACGCCACCTCTCGTTTCAGCTGTGTGGTGCAATCCGCTTGTCCGCGTTGCGTCGCGAAATAATTTAATGTGACGCGTGTAACAATTCGGACAAATGAACCACCGATAACCCATCGTCACGTGAACTCCGGTCGTCCTCGCAGCCGATGGCTTTTGGCTCAGTCATCGAACAAAGACGGTCACCGCATCACGCGCTTTCGGATGCGCTTTTGCGGCCGTCTGGAACGCTCTTCCCATATTAGGAAGCCACTGGAGTTATGAACTTTTAAATTCAGATTGAAAAATAATTTCTGTACACGATCATGTTTTTGCTACCCGTCGCGTCTGCACTGCTAACGAAAGCCGTTCCGTAAACAAACGCAAGTTGGAAAATGTCAGGTACATTTTTTCCCTCGTTGTCCGCGATGGATATGTTCCGGAGATGCTCGTGGATAGCAAATATCGCGGATAATGATATTGGCTTACGAAAAGCTATCTTTTTAATGAATTGCCTGAAATAAATCCGTAAATAATAAATGTCACTTTTATATCTCGTCACTTTATCTCTCATCACTTTCCTTCTTTCTCACCCTCTCTCTCGATGCATTCGTGTAGAATTCCAGAAGCGATTCGCGCGTAGCCAAAATCGCGGATGACAAGCTCGCGAATAATGCAGGAACACTGTGGCCCACGCTTGCGCATGTTTTTTTCCCCAACCCGTTTACGTGAAAATTCGATTGATCTAATGCGAATTTCGTTTTTGAATCGCCAGGACGTGGAGGACGAGGACCCCGTGCCCGAGATCCGCCGCGACCATTTCGAGGAGGCGATGCGCTTTGCCCGCCGCTCCGTCTCCGACAACGACATCCGCAAGTACGAGATGTTCGCGCAGACGCTGCAGCAGAGCCGCGGATTCGGCAGCTTCCGCTTTCCCGGCGGCCAGGGCGGCCCCGGCGGAGGCCAGGGCGGCGCCGGCGGCGCCGGTGGCGGCGGCGGCGGCGGCGGCGGCAGCGGCGGCATGTACCAGGACGATGGCGACGACGACCTCTACAGCTAGAGATGGCGCAGCAGCGGCGGCAGCGGTAGTGCGGCGCACGACGGGACAGATGGCTCGACGACGTTGACCTCCGGAGGCAGACGTGACGGGGTAGCGTACGGGCACACGGCGGCCCAACACGAGGACGACGATTACTACGATGCCCTCTCGCTATCGATCGGGTTGAGGGGTACCTACGGCCGGTGGGCAGTGCCCGGACCACCGCCCCCTCCCCCCATATCTTTATGTTGATGTCGCAATGGCCGCAGCACACGCGAAACGGCCCGCATGTTGGCCGCTCTGATCGGGTACTGGAGGGGGGGGGGAATCACTTTCATCCTGGCAAACACTTTCTGATTTTTACTGGGCCAAGTCAATTCTTTCACTGGACGGGCTTCTTGCATCGACAGAAGGTGACCGGATCCTTGTGTGTGTGTGTGTGTTAACGTGTGGCTGCCAGTGGTGTCTGAAATTCTAATCAGGCACTCGGTAAGGGCAAGGTTCCTCCACCCCTGCTCTAGAGTGTGTCCAATGACGTGCGCGGTGTAACATACGATGGGCACACACTGGGATGACGACGACGATGACGACGATTAAGATGTCCCTTGGCCACGATGTGGAATGGAAGTCCACCGACCGCGCGTTTCATCGCGCGCGACAGACGTCACGAAGTCCCCCCCCCCCCAACCCCCACCCGGCCTCCCATCGATTTGTTCGGCTTACGAGAATCGATTCGTTTCCGCAGCGCGTTTTATCGCCTCTCTCGTGTTTCTCATCTTTATTTCCGTCTTGTTCGTGTAGTTTTAATTTCCGCCGTTAGCCTAAATATAGCATTTGCATATCATGTGCGCAGCTTATGATTTGTACAAATCGGAAAGAATCGATCGTCGCTCTCGCGCCTCGGTGCCCTCATCTCTCGACCTGAGCGCAAGAATCTCATTCGGCCGACGAATCGATACGTCGTTAAATTGATGACGGATGCGCTTCCAACCCGGGGGACGACCACAATGATGCTCGCGAAGACGGCCTGCAGAGGGCACGCTACGGCGTGCGGTTGTCGTACACAACAACTATTAAGGTGAGCCTCCGCCAGGAAAGTAGTGACCCCCTCCGGCTATCGACGGGATGCTGTGATTTACAACGGCATGCGCCAGCATATTAGAGATGCAAGGAATTGGCCCTCCGTCAGTAATTCTGACAGGTGATGTGTTTTATTTCGATGATTGGTTGTCATCGATCTTATTACTGATCCCCGGGTTGATGAGATGTGATGAGAAATAGCGTGGCAGGAAAGGTGTCAGAACGTGCTGATATACAGTGAGGGAAAAAAGTATTTGATCCCCTTCTGATTTTATACGTTTGCCCACTGACAAAGAAATGATCAGTCTATTATTTTAATGGTAGGTTTATTTGAACAGTGATAGACAGAATAACAACAAAATCCTGAAAAACGCATGTCAAAAATGTTATGAATTGATTTGCATTTTAATGAGGGAAATAAGTATTTGACCCCTCTGCAAAACATGACTTAATACTTGGTGGCAAAACCCTTGTTGGCAATCACAGAGGTCAGACGTTTCTTGTAGTTGGCCACCAGGTTTGCACACATCTCAGGAGGGATTTTGTCCCACTCCAAGTCATTAAGGTTTCGAGGCTGACGTTTGGCAACTCGAACCTTCAGCTCCCTCCACAGATTTTCTATGGGATTAAGGTCTGGAGACTGGCTAGGCCACTCCAGGACCTTAATGTGCTTCTTCTTGAGCCACTTTTTTGTTGCCTTGGCCGTGTGTTTTGGGTCATTGTCATGCTGGAATACCCATCCACGACCCATTTTCAATGCCCTGGCTGAGGGAAGGAGGTTCTCACCCAAGATTTGACAGTACATGGCCCAGTCCATCGTCCCTTTGATGCGGTGAAGTTGTCCTGTCCCCTTAGCAGAAAAACACCCCCAAAGCATAATGTTTCCACCTCCATGTTTGACGGTGGGGATGGTGTTCTTGGGGTCATAGGCAGCATTCCTCCTCCTCCATACACGGCGAGTTGAGTTGATGCCAAAGAGCTCCATTTTGATCTCATCTGACCACAACACTTTCACCCAGTTGTCCTCTGAATCAGCTGTTCAATGGCAAACGCCAGACGGGCACATATATGTGCTTTCTTGATCAGGGGGACCTTGCAGGCGCTGCAGGATTTCAGTCCTTCACGGCGTAGTGTGTTACCAATTGTTTTCTTGGTGACTATGGTCTCAGCTGCCTTGAGATCATTGACAAGATCATCCCGTGTAGTTATGGGCTGATTCCTCACCATTCTCATAATCATTGCAACTCCACGAGGTGAGATCTTGCATGGAGCCCCAGGCCGAGGGAGATTGACAGTTCTTTTGTGTTTCTTCCATTTGCGAATAATCACACCAACTGTTGTCACCTTCTCACCAAGCTGCTTGGCAATGGTCTTGTAGCCCATTCCAGCCTTGTATAGGTCTACAATCTTGTCCCTGACATCCTTGGAGAGCTCTTTGGTCTTGGCCATGGTGGAGAGTTTGGAATCTGATTGATTGATTGCTTCTGTGGACAAATACTTATTTCCCTCATTAAAATGCAAATCAATTTATAACATGCATTTTTCTGGATTTTCTTGTTATTCTGTCTATCACTGTTCAAATAAACCTACCATTAAAATTATAGACTGATAATTTCTTTGTCAGTGGGCAAACGTACAAAATCAGCAGGGGATCAAATACTTTTTTCCCTCACTGTACACGCACAAATAAACATCTTGAGTCGCCAATGAAGCTGATGTTCGCTGCAAAAGGGAAAATGCAAAAACTGTGTCCCTCAGGTCGGTGGGACGTGAATAATTTTTTTTGCGCGAGTAACGTCGTTCCAAAGCTTATTCAGTTATTATTCAACCCCTACGAGAATATTTCGGTTTCTTTCAACGTCCCGTTAATGTTGTGCATCGCGCCATTTGAGTTTTTTCGGCCACGGGCAACCAATGCCCCTTTTGTCGGGGTTTACGCCTGGGATGTAGCAAACATTGAAACCTTTTTTGTTGTTAAATTCAATGGTAAGTAAATTTTGCATAGCGGAGTATGTTAATTTTTTCGCGTTGCGTGTTTGAGTTTATTTTCTGCGGAAACACATTGCTACGATGGGGCTCTTAATATAGACAGCAGAAGAAATTGTACACAAGAACACACACACAAGCGATGAAAACTTTTTGGTTTTCAATAGAATCTATCCATTTGATAAAACAGCCCTCAAAATACCTGATTGCGATGCCTCTAACACGGCAATTCAAAATACTTAACGCGATCTTGGAACACTCTGAATATCGTAAAAGCGGTGGCTCCGCATCTTGCAGTCACATGTTGAGAGGAAAGTGAGACGGTCATTATGAGGCCAATCGTTTGGGCTCGAAATCTGGTCACCTCCAATCACAGTTGTTGCTACCATTAACATGATGCAATGTTTTTTTTTTAACCCATCTTGATCATGATTGGAAGAGAAACATTTCTGCTCTTCGGTTGACCAGAAATCACAGTGGTATAGATATATATACACACACACACGCGCACGGATCACCGCGTATTTTCAGTGTTTCTACACGAGCCACTCTTTCTCTGCCTCCCGTTTCTCTTCTGCACGCGCGTATCTTTCAACCCAATGGCTAATCCGTGGGATCCCGTCCGTTCCTGTGGCCTGTGTTTACATGTGGTGTAGCGTTTTTATTTGTGGTGGTAATATTGATAATATAATTTATTGTTCAGTTTTAGTGTTAAGTTCAGCGCTTTTTGTTTTTGGTCGCAATGTATCGCATCAGTTTATAACTTTTGACATCCCCATTTTCACATTGGATAAGGAAGTGGAGGTTTTTATTTCGGTATCCACAATAACGCTTTTATCTGTGACCCGTCTGTGACATTCCTGATAGCAGGAATGCTTTTTTACACTCTCTGTCTGATTTTTCTATGAAAGTGCGAATTCGCTGGATGATTTGCGAATGGTCCGACCACGCACCCCAATAGGCGTCACGGATAAGAGGGTTGCGGATATGAGGAGTCCTTTCCGCATAGTTTTTCACCAGCATATGCGATCGATACCTGTCAATCCCTTATCATTTCCTGCCTTATTACAGATCAATTTAGACCTTATTGGTCACCCCATGCCCCTTATAAATCTCAATGTTTATCCTACAAAGTCCCATCACAATGGAGAAACACAAATAGACACATTGTTTTGCCCGCATTGAAACGGCTGTACGCCGTATGGACCTGAAAACTCAATTTCCCTGTTCAAGAATACGGAGTTATAAACCGTATGGGTCGACAGGTATGGTGATCGGACTCTATCAACAACTGCATTGGCATTTGTATTTTTCACGTTTGGGTGAAGCTAAAGCCGCTTCTTATTCCCTAACCTTACGACCCCCCCCCCCCCCCGCAACCCCCCACCCCCTCCCAAAGCCGTAAAGAATTCCCGCACTGAATCTGATGCGATTCCCACATTCGTTTTAAGCGTGAATTCCGAAATCATCTCGAGCTGGAATCGCATCCAAATCTAAACCCCGAATTGCATACGAGCACCTCCGATTGCCGCACTCACGTTAGTACGTACATGCTGAACTTCTTTCGCACCGTACGTAGCCAACCGTGCTACTCGTGGGGTGCGGGCGGGGGAAGTGCGACAAGTATGAATACAGAATAGAAAGCACAGTTCACATGGTGGTGTGGAAAGTCAATGTCTACTGATTATTGCTGGGACAATGTGTTCTCTGCTTTAGCAACCCCAAGGTATTGTCAAACTCGTCCTGATATATAATAGGTCCATCGTTCACAACCGCCGCTCACAATCTCTCCATTTCCCTTCCACTGCCTGTGGAGCACTGCCACTTTGCACCGTTACATTATGCACTTGGACCGCATGTTTTCAACGCTTTAAAAAAATGCTTTTGCAATTTTAAGTTAACGGGAGCTGCTAGCCCTCGACCGTGCCGCTCTTGCCTGTTTTCAATTCGCTTCACTGTGGTGTACCCAAGTGCAGCCTTTTGAGGTTTGGGTTGTTGGTTCTTTGACCACGTGTCACCACGCACGCTGGTCAGGTGTGTGTGGGGGTGAAGGTTGATGGTGTGGAGCACTGCCCTCTGCTGACAACATAGCCTCGCCGTAACTCAAAGAACGCTGGCAAAACAAAGTTAATGCTTTCACAAAGGTGACGGTGTTGGATAAGTTATTGCGATGATTTCTAACCAGTTTTTGCTTAGCAAAACAGGCTGTTGCGAGGTCAATGTAAGCCGAACTTTATTTAGAGAGAGGCCTTCGCGGCACGTAGCTTAAGACAACTTAATTTTACGTGGTTATTTTTGCACTGGCCCCTTTGATCTAGTTGGTTACATCCTTGTTCAGATGTCCGTTGGTGTGCGCTTTCTTGAAGTTGTATAGGTATATACGATTCGTACGTTGCGCTCATCTGCCAAAATAAAACAAAAATGTTATCGACCCTTCTCTGTGACCGGCTATTTTTTTGAGTGTTTTCTGTGGCATGTTTTGGAACCTGGGTGACATAGCTGGGAGCCAAGTGAAAAATTAGCGGTTGTTTTTTTCACCCTTTTAGTATCCGGCATTGGCAAAAAAGCATGGTTAAGACAATACGTCCTAAACTATAAAGTAAACTTTTTTTTTATTTTTACCAGGTAAGGCCCACTTAGCTATATAGCTCTTCTTCTTTGGTTATTTCGGTAAAGTCACGTAGAATGAGAATAAAATAATAAATTGATAAAATAAAATAACACAATAATCTCACGACGTTTCGGCCACAACACAAGCGGCCTTCATCAGGTGAAGGGACGAGACTGGTAGGGCAGCGCTGGAGTGAAAAAAAGCCACGTTCAGATCACGACCTTTAAGCTGTGTCAGAAGAAACAAAGCGCCTTGACAAAGGAATTAGCATATAATTTAGCATTGAAATGGCCGAGTGATTAGCTTGTGACTGGTCAGAAATGGCTATGTTAAAGTTAAAGCATACACATCCGCAGAGGCACCCCCTGACAAAGGAATTAGCATAGAATTTAGCATTGAAATAGCTAAGTTAAAGCATACACATTCGCAGAGGCACCCCTTGACAAAGGAATTAGCATAGAATTTAGCATTGAAATAGCTGAGTGATTAGCTTGTAATTGGTCACAGAAATAGCTATGTTTAAAGTCAGAGCATACACATTCACCGAGGCACCTAGTACAAATCAAACAGGAGAATTTAGCATTGAAATAACTAGGCGAATTTAGCATTGAAATAACTGAGTGATTAGCTAGTGACTGGTCACAGAAATGGCTATGTTGAAGTCAAGGTCTACACATCTGAGCTATTCACAGTAACTGGGTATACAATACAATGTATAATGAATACTATATAGTGAAC